GAGTTATCCATCATGAAGGGCCATCTAGGCAAAATATGGGATTGGACATTTTGAAAGTGCTGCATCTGCGCCTGAAAACAATAGGTTGTGAAGGAGCCACGACCCTGTCCAAGCTGCTGGAAGATAGAAGATCTGGAAAAAAAAAAATGCAATGCATGTGTGACCAGGACAACACAGAAGAAAAACGAACTGCAAGAAAGATTGCAGGAAAGTTAAAAAAAATGGCAAAAGACACTGGTGCCTGCCATGTCGCCTTATTTTGACAGTCCTGGTGACTCACACAAATGTGTTTTACTTGTTTACACTTGACACATGGTCGGAGAATAACTTCAAACACAATAATTATAGGACAAAGTGTCACAGCAGACAGCTGAATAATCTCTGCAAGTCCTTGACCCCTGTATCTAGCCAGAAGCAGAAAGCATCCTCAAGGTAAAAACAAAATAGCACAGGATACTCCTGGCCACAGCCAGCGTGTTAACACAGCATTACAGAGTGGGATCTCCTTGCTTATATTATGATTTAATGGCTTTACTTCCTCTGTAATCTTTGCTTTATGGCAGAAAGATTTCTTGAGTTGTATTTAAGCCTTTCTTCCCTTTATTGCTGGATATGTGTATAATTGGTGGAATGATGGCACCTTAACCAACAAGTGGCATCTAAGCAAGTTCCATCAGATGACAGTCTACAAAGATTATCATGCCTCCCGCTGGAATGGACTGATAGGCGTAAACACTGAGGTAAGTCCTAAACAAGGTCTGCTAGCAGCACAACGTGATTGGCTGGAAGATGAGCAAAACTGGTTTGTGTTGCCAAGAGGCTAACACAGCTGTTTACAAAATAAATAAGTTGCAACATTAAACATTTCAAATATTTGATATTGCGCCTAGGTGATGATGGCCTGTTGCTGTCACAGCATAGAGACAACAGCAGTATAATGTCACTCTGTGTTGTTTTAAGGACAGTTATCCTGTCATTACTTATGTGGTATCAAAATGCCTTTCTTATTTTTTTGTTTCCCAGAACTGCAGGTGACAAGTGAGCATAGTGAGTTTGGACTTCATTCGGATAAAATGAATCATGTGGTGATGGATGGGGGGTGGGGGGTGGGATCGTTGACCAATAATATCCTGAACAGCACATACTTAGAGGCATGTCGGCTTTTTGTCATCAAATATATATTTGACACAACTGCCTCATCTTATGTTATTTGCCATAGCAACAAAAGTAATAAAAACACCCTACTGCGCCTCATGTGAAGACCAGAGCATCCACACAAATCTGCTTTTCTCATAGACATGTTCTGCAGAAAATTCACTACCAACCAGGCTGTTTAACCCTACAGGTGACATAGGAGGTTGCCTAATGCACCAACTACTGAGAGGCAAATAGCCGATTTCACTTGCGCATGGTGCTTCTGAGATAAAAGTGAAACTGGCTGGTTCGTGCCCTCTGCACTGCGGCACACACAGCTACACAATGTACCACAATGTGTACTCACCACACAGTAGCTATGGTGCGCATGAGACAATTTACCAGTCAGATACAGTGGATGGTTAGGAGGCCAGATTTGAAAGGGCCACAGTGGGTAGTTTTAGCCAGGACATTGTGGTACCACCCCTACTCTTTTGAAAGATGCCCAGGGGTCTTTCATGATCTCAAGTAGTTAGGACCTCGGTTTTACATCTCATTTGAAGGACAATACCAGTTTGACTGCACCATGTCACCCTCACTGCACTGGGACCCACACAGACCACAGGATGGGCTGACCTGTTCTCCACATCAACACCAGCAGCAACCAGCAGCCAGGCCAAACCTGCTTAACTTCAGATGAATTACCTAGTCAGAACTACAGGTGGTATGGCTGCTCACATTTAATTTTATTTTGTTTTGACTTCAAAGCACCTGAGTTTCAGTGGTAGATCCTGGCAAGGGCAACACGGGCAACATCATCTTACGGTTCACCCCGCCGCACACAGGGTGAAATTGGAGGGTGGGGACTATTGGTGATGCTCACCTAGGGCACCACATCGGCTAGGATCGGTACTGGGCACAGCAACAGGACAGACAAAGCAAGCATGTACATTGCAACAACAAATCTGTTTTGCTTGTGAATTCTGTTTTTCAGTTAACGGTTAATGCCCCATCCTACATGGGTTAGTCCCTGTCTTGCACCCGTTGCAACCAGGATAAGCTTCAGACCCCCACAACACTGCATAGGACAAGCAGGTACAGAAAATGGATGGATGGATGGTTGGATGTATGTTTTTCACAACAGTGAAAATAAAGGACTTGTGTTTATTAAATTGTCCTGTTGATTTAATTCATCAATGTTATTAAAGATGCCACTTCATGCTAAAATAGTTGCAATAAATTTTACCATGTTGGGGGAGGATGAAATGCCCCCAGAGTCCCTAGAATCACCTCAGCGATTGTTAAGCTGTGGACCGGGGGGTGGTTTGGTGCCTAAGGTTTGCTAAGTCAGCAAAATTGCCCTTCACCACTGCAGTAGCAGTAATTTTAAAGAGAGAGGAGAGAGAGGAGAGAGAGAGAGAGAGAGAGGAGAGAGAGAGAGACAGAAAAGGAAGATGAAGTAAGCTTACTATTGTGATGATTGTCCATGTAAAAGATGACACGGTGACAGGCTGAGACATGACCCAAGACCGAGGGCACCGTTTGTAGGCCGCTCCCGCACAGTGTATTATCACGCCCTACTTTGTTTTTATTGTTCCTAGGGCCAACAAAAAATGATGCCAGACGCCTGTTGAATAACTTGTCACCTTAAAAAGAGGTCACCACAACAGGCAGCGTCATGGGTCCCCGCCCAGGGAGACGCTGGTGCCGATGGGCTTATAACATGGTAAAGCACAGTGAAACACAATGCAGTAATACAGTGCAGCAGCAGTGTCACAATTGTTTTTAATGTAGGTAATTTTAGGTTTATAATTGAATAATATAAATTTGCCCTAAGATTTCTTGCGTGAGAGTCAGAAAGTGTGAGTGTTACGCCAAATACCTGAGCAGCCCTGCAGTAGCTGTTGTAATGATGGGTGGGGAAAACACTAAATGTAGATCTAGGTATTTAGCAGACAGAATTTTACATTCCATATTTGCAACATTGTGATCCTTTTTTTCTCAAAGAGAATTTCCCCATATGTTGAGGTAAACAATGAGTCATTGTCTTTATAATGTTTATGTCTCATCATGGTAATAGACGCACCCGAAAATTAGTAAAAACATATATGTTCCTAAGTATAGGTGCAAAAGCAGTAATAGTGCATGACCTAACCTCAGGGCAGCAGAAAGTCAATTGTCTAAGGAAGGAAATAAAAGTGGTCGGTAGAGCAAACGGCCATCCATTTAGGCGCCATTTCAGCTGTAATTCATATACTGACCCAGTTAGCTGATTAGTATCACAAATATCCCACATTCCAGCACTCTCATACGTTACTCTCGCTGAAATTAACACCATGTTCTTATATTCATTCAAATATAGTAATGAAACAATTTCCACTGTACAAATCAGCAAATAAAACACGGATATCCACGTTTTTGTTAGGAACTTCATTTAACAATTTATACTTAATAGATCCATTAGTCACTCCTCTTGTTGCAGACCCTGGTTTCTAAAAAAGTTGGTACACTGTGTAAAATGCAAGTAAAAACAGAATGCAATGATTTGCAAATCATACAAACCCATATTTTACTGAAGAAAAAAAGAACAAAGACAACACCTCAAATGTTGAAACTGAGAAATGTTATTGTTTTATGATATACGCTCAATTAGAGTATAATGCCAGCAGCACATTTCAAAAAAGTTGGGACAGGGCAACAACAGTCTTTCACAGAGAGAGGAACCTTTGCCCTTCTTCACGGCAGATACTCTGCCTCTCTGAGAAGCTCTTTTTAAACCCAATAATCTTACTGCCCTGTTGCCAATTAACCTAATTAGTTGTGAGATATTCAACCAGGTGTTTTATTCTAGCATTACACAGCTTTTCCAGTCCTTTGTTGCCCCTGTCCCATCTTCTAATGAAACATGTTGCTGACATCAAATTCAAATTGAGCTTGTATTTGTCATAAAACAATGAAATTTCAGGTTCAACACTTGAAATGTTTCTGGTATATTTTCAATTAAATAGGGGTTTATAGGATTTGTAAATTACTACATTCTGTTCTTTATGTTTTACATAATGTCCCAACTTTTTTGGAAACGGGGTTGTATTACTATATATAGCGAGAGAGTAAAAGAAACGCAAATTACAAAGTCACAATAAATTAATCAGTAGAACTCTAGAAAGGCTTATTTGGTATTATTTCTCGTTACATAGGTGCCTAGTTAAGGTCCTGTGTATTCCCATCTCATACTGATGCTACTCTAAAATCTTTTTGCAAGCAATCAGGCTGGACATGACGGGCTTAGTTGTGCAGAGTGCCGATGAATGATTGGTAGTTTTGTTGTAGTTACCACCTGCTTTTCACTTTTGAAGTCTTAGGAATCCCAGAAATATATATGAGGAACACATAGGACTGCTGGTCATTTACCTCACATTTGTCCCTCAAATCTCTCTGCGTCAGGCTTAGTTTAGCTTATACTGTATGTAACAGCAATTGTCCACAGGGGTGGTTTTCAATTACAGTTTAATTATCTTAATTGTTATGTCCAGACGTGGGTGCAGTAACCAATCATAGCATAGTATGCAATCATTACCTCTAGCTTAAAAAACCCTGTCTAAAGGTTATTCCCACTTGTATTAAATTTCAGGCCTGCGTCATCACCCAGAATGATTAGGACAGCAGAAAAAGAAGCAAAGGGGGAAAAAAAACCTTTGCACTGTTTGCAAATATTTGGGGGTGAGACAAGCCGTTCTATATATGAATCTTAATCCAATTCATTTGAGAAGAGCTCGGACAGCCATTTTGAGTTGTCTGCCATGGGAACAAATGATAATTCAACACATTAACTTACCTGCAATAACAAACATCCCATAAAAATAAGCTGCGCCTATAACAAATAGAGACTTTATTTTGCTGTACTTCACACAACTGACAGGGGTTTGTTTAGCCCTCACTCTCCGCAGGACCCATACATTAAAGGAGCCTGAGGCAGGCACACCGAAGCCAGAGGCCACTACAAAGCCAGAGTTCAGCTCCTCATCACAGTCCTGGAGCACAACCATGGAGAACATGAAGTTCCCTCTGTTCACCTCCTGCTGGAGTCCTGCTGGAGTAGTGTTTGTTTAGTTTATTTTGTTCGCAGTTCCCAGTCGGAATATTGTTTGCAATAAATAACCGTGAGGGTCCCGTGTGAGTTTCCTCAGAGGCGATGGGGGGTAGGGGGCGGGTCTGAGATCATCTGACGCGCAGCCGTGACATCATCCACTCCAGACCCTGGCACAGCCTGCAGTTGTGAAAAAGAGAGGTCAGCTTTCTGTGATGACAGATGTGCAGGCAATAATCGTATGACTAGAGGGTGGGTTTCCAGCAGCACTAGTTCAAGGAACCAGGCTTTTCACTAGAGATGTAACCTTTTGGTAAGAGTCAGTTGGAACGGGCCTTTGACCCTCTTCCAAAGAACGGCACATGCACAGTCTAAGTGTCAGCTAAGTCCTAAGGGGGGCGGCATACCCTTCGCCAGTGAGGGCACAGCAGGCCTGGATGTGCCACTGGTGTTCCTTGATGGATGTGAGCTGTAGGCTCTGAGAGATCTCAGCCACTGACATGCAACCTTTCACATCCTGCTTGTTGGCAAACACCAGCAGGCCAGCCTTTTTTAAGTCCTGTGGGACAGAGAGAGGGAGCAATTCATGGATGTGTTAATGGATAACAAAAGGCACAGCAATGTTATTTGCAGAAAAATTCTTTGCAATCTAATTTGACATTGATCAGTGAATTCAAAAATCACAAGCCAAAGTGGGCACTACATCTAGGTCACTGCACAACCATAAAGGCATTTTTCCACCACACCAGGTATCATACTTTTAGTATGGTACTTTCCCTTTTCCATTGACTTCCGGTCAAGTACCAGTACCAAAGGTTCCAGTACCTAAAATGCCAAACCAATTTGGGGTACTTTTTTGGTACTTCTGTACTTTGGGTTGGGGCCTAAAGGCTTTCTTTGTTGACTGGTCCTGCAAATAGCCTGCCTCTGAAACAGAATTTAACTAATGTCTTAAAAAAAGTTACAAACTCAGAAAACAACGATAAACAAAGTAAAAAATAAATAAAAGTAATAATAATGTATGTGTGGATAAATGAAGCTTTAACTGCGATCTGGTCGGAAGAATAAACTAAATTCAACTAAATTAACTGTCACATTGTGATCTTGTTGTAATTAATACTGGGATATTCATAAAACAAACAAACAAAAAAAAAAGAGTTCAACATAACTCTCTCACAAACCTGTCTAGGAGTGATTTAGCAAGGATGAAAATGATGATTGTGTTGGAGAACACATGTAGCGCTCATGCAAAACTGATTTTTAAAAACATACTAGATAATCTTAATCATTAAAATCACAAAACATCCTAAATGACAGAATAAAATATTTTAACAAAACTTAAGCTGTATAGAACTGAAGGTATGAAAAAGCCTGATCTAGCTGACTAGCGGTGTGAGAACTGCATGTGCATAACATGGGATATTGATATTAAAATAACACATCCAGCATTATAATATATTATAGCTATTTTTTAAATTCAGTACAAAATACCCTGCCTTGCACTGATGTCAATCAGTGCCAGGACCAGTTTTTACACCAGTGGAAAACCAGCACCTTAAAGTACCAAAAGTACGGTACCCGGTGCAGTGGAAAAGTGCCCTAATACACCAGTTTGCACACAGTTACAGGTTATAGTTACAGGTTGAGTTTTTGTTGGGAATAGCACTATAACCTGAGACACACCTCATGTGCAAGCATCTTGTAGAGCTCCTCCTTGGTGACAGAGATCCTCTCTCTGTCTGTACTGTCCACCACCACGATGACAAACTGAGGAAAGGGTTCATGTAGGGAGCTGAGAATGATGTTGCCAATGTCCACTCACTCATTAAGCATGACTGGTCATAGCTCATTACCCTCTGCTGTACTGCAAACTGATCTGTGCTCCACTTATAACTAACTGGAAGTAGGAAGTAACTTTCAGAAGAATCCTTATATTACAGACTAGAACAACCACCAGCCTTTTCGTACTGCTAATTTCTGTCAGTATTAGGGTTGCAAAATTCTAGGAATATTCTTGTTAATTCCCATACTTTCCCGTTAATTCCCATGGAAAGTTTCTAATGTGGAATATTTCCAAAATTCCCCAGCTTAACTTCCCATGGAACAGAAAGTTTCAGGAAAATTTCCAGAAATTTTCCAGCCCTTTGCAACCCTAGTCAGTATTTGCTTTCACAATCTGTATTATGTCCTTGATAATCACTATATATTCTAATAAATAATCAGATAGGTAATAATTCATTATTTACACATACTTGAAGTCCAGTGGGAATCAAACAATATAAAACAGATATTGAACAAATACAAGGCAGAAGTACACACACACCTCTGTGTTGGTGTAGTAGGTGTTCCAGGAGGAGCGTAGCGACTCCTGCCCGCCTATGTCCCACATGAGGAAGTGCGTGCTGTTGACCATGATCTCCTCCACGTTGCTGCCTATTGTGGGTGAGGTGTGGACCACTTCATTCATAGAACTGCACTCCATGAAAAAAGCAAAAGTTCACACATTAGCACCATTTCTCTACAGCAAAATCATTTAAAAATACAGCATTCATTGTGCCCTTTGAAAACAGTAGCCACAGTGCTCCCCTAGTGTTCAAGCATGGTACTGGACACCACATAGGAATTCCACATTCTCTTACTCATTACAGATTTTTCGCACTGCGGTCACCTTGGTGCTAACAAAACAACTTGCGATGCTACCAATTATAATTACAGCATTCATCGAGACGCAATGGAAACACTGTCAAGCAAAAGCAGTACTTCCCAGAGGCTGGAGGTTAAACGTGTGTTTGAATTTCACAGAGCTTTATAATTAGCACACGGTTCACGATGCTGCTGCATGAGCAGGGCGAGTGCTTGACTTCACCTTACCACTGAGCAAACTGCCATCAGTGATCTGTCAACTACAGCTTTTTACTTTGTTGGTACGTTATATTTCAAACGTAGTTTTGATTTAACATATAAAGCATCACTCCATGAAAAGTGATCACGCTAGGCTTATGGCTTGGATATGCTTTCTGGCATGCGTAAAGTGTCATGCGATAGAGGGGAAAGTGGATGCAGCCGAGCCCACCCAGGTGCACTGGGTCCTCGGGACACACCTGCCCCCACCCCTTTTCAGTACACCAGAGGCTTCAGAATACTCACAACTGGTACAATATAGTGGTCTTCCCAGCATTGTCCAGACCCACAATGATGACTTTGTGCTCTGAAAAGACATAAAATGGTTAAAATTAATGTGAGCATTCATTTTACAAATTAAAACCATATACAAGGCATCATGTACACTGTAAGTGTAATATGTTTTGGCACATTTGCACAAACAGCCAAGCATCACTCACACATAAAATAAACACAAGAACAATATATATAGTTCAGTTTAATTTTATTTTATGTGGATGATGAATGGTGAAATATGTGTCTTTTTAGGAAGCACTTATCCAAACAGGCATGGAGAAGTCCACAGAAAATGTGGAAACACACAGCCTAAGGCCAGGGACACACTGAACAGGACAGAGGTCCATTCCAGGACACTCACACATTTAGTTACGCACCAGTTCACGCAAAGCGGAAGACCTAGAGAAAACTTTTTGGCTTTGCATACATTAATATGAGAGCCAAATGAAAGCTGCATTCCACAGAACCTGCCCAACACCCCCCCCCCCCCCCGCACCAAGCAGAGTCCGCAGGCAACATCTGCCGAGAAGTAACGGTGCGGATAAACGAATAGAGACACCTGCTTTATGGTACAAGACTGAGCCGCGTGCATTCACACTCGCACACACTAGCACACCAGGTCATGTGATTACACTGCAGGCAGCTGCTACTCCGATGCGAATGTGGCCAACAACAAAAGCTGTATGAACAAATGGTCATAGAAACATAGGCAACCAAAAACAAGTTCTCTGCTTTTATTCATTATTGAAAAGGTCATAGCAGACCTACTAAGAATTTCCTTATAGAAGTAATGTAACCCTGAGCCAATGTGTCTTCTGCAGGGGCCTGTAACTGTACCTGATGCGACACCTTATGCAGAAGAGAATGGCTATGAAACAGATTTAAGAATAGTGAGTGCCCCAGTGTGGATGCAAGTACTCATCCCTGCCAAGACATTCAGGGAAGGGAGACTTGATTTGAATACAATGAAGTAATGATTTAATGATAAACAAGTATCAATATCACATAACCGCATATCCAGAAACACAGTCTGCCTGAAGCCTGTTTCAGAAAACACAAGGAAAAAGGGGTGGTTACCCCCTAATACACAGAGATAGCAGCAAGCTCCATTCACACTGGGAGCAAGATTCAAAGCCTCAACTATGCTGCATCTAGGGATGGGCCGATCCACATTTTTTCAGTTCCGATCCGATTCTGATACACAATTGCCGATACCGATACAGATTCTGATACAAGAGCTCTTTTTACTTTGTTATACTTTATATATACATTTTTTAAGCTAGTGAATACAGATGGAAAAAATGTATGGCAAAAAATATTTAATTAGGCTACTACAACTACTAACGTACTGTTCCACCTTGTTTCTATGTCTTGTTTTAAGCATTTTTGAGGCATTTGCAGTTCAATATGAATATCTTCAAAACAAGTATACACAAGTGGCGAATGCTTAAAATTTTAACAATTTTTCTCCCATTGGCGTCAGTTCAGTTACACTTTGTTGCGATGGCAGCCCCTCTTGTATCATAAGCTGCAGCGAGTTCGCAAGACAGTCCAGGTCAGCGACTCCCAAATCATCTATTGCTTTTTTTGTCTCGCAGTTGCGTGCGCTTTGTTAAGTAGGATTGTCCATTAAACGCCATTCCCACCTCTCAAAACTTTATTTTACAAAGATTGCAAATCGCTGTGCTACTGGTTTCTGTTAAAAGTGTAAAATACTCTCAGATCGTCACGTCTTATCTTACGGCGGAAGTCACTGTACTCACACCCACTGAGTAGCAAAAATGTCTATGAAGTTAATTAAAAGAAGAAAAAAAAAAGTAGGGGCAGCGTCAGAGTTCGATTTGAATGCCGCAAAAAAAAAAACACATGTAAAATGGGAAAGCGCTATCGTGCAATTGATTGTACAAATAGATTTAACACGAAATAGGAGCTATCTTTTTAGAGATTGCCAAAAACTAAATAAGTATAGGACGTGGATCGGTCATGCATGGCCTATACCCGATCCGTCAAATAGGTCTGGATCGGCGCCGATACTGGTCCGAATATCGGCTCGGTGCATCTCTAGAGCTCTGCATCACTAGCCACTGTGAGCTTAGCCTCACAACATAGCTGAAGATCATCAGAGGGCTTACAGGGATTGTAAGGAAAATACAAGAAAACCCCCTTTCACCCTTGTTTCACAAAGCTTCTCCTGTTTTTGCTGCCCTGTACAGCATTTACAACTGAGAGAAACACAGGGAGAAAAGGCGAGACGCACACACTAGGGGGCGAAGCCGCTAAATGCCAGACCAATGGGCACTTTCATTGTCTATCCCCATTTCCACTGAGTCAGTAAGCTGAAACAAGAGATGGCTGGGCCCCAGCTGCCTGCACTCTGATAATACCACATGGGAGAGAGGGGGTCAGAAGCTAACAGCACACACAACTTGCTGCCCATTTCTGCTTTCAATATCTCTGCCACATACAAGCCTGAAAGATTACAAGCAGATGGTGCAACCCAAAATGTGTCACAAAGTGCAAAGGTAGGGAAGGGGCTGTGCTGCAGCTTGCACTGGTGCCTGAGATCTGAATTTCAATCTGCAAGTTTGCTATCAGCACACGTTTGTGGGTCAAGGAGCACAAAGGGCTGCTGAGTTGTGCAGTTCCACATCTGCATTCACACATGACACTCGTTCCTGTCTATACCGTCTGGGAGAAAAATGAACAGGCTGCTGATCACATGACCTAGAAGAACAGAATAATTAGAAAGAGATACAAAACCACGCACACATGCATGTGCGCGGACACACAAGGTATTAAACACACCAACTCCTAATGCAGGACAGAAAACAAACAGGGATATCAGTCCAATTTTATTCTAGAGAGCAGTATATGTGTTCATATTTAAGTAAATAAAATATTCAACAAATGGTGCTGTGTTTTGACTCCGCTAGAATGGACTGATAACTAGGATGGCACTCAAAGACTACTAGGTTGTCAATGAATTGCAAGCTACTATAAAGACTACAGATTTAGATGTACTATGGAAGGCACACCATGAGTAGTGCCAATTCTGTGACCAATGAATACTCACAGGATCCAATCAGTGCAGAATCAGAGGCATGTGACTGCTGAGGCAATTGTTCTGATTTACAAAATCTGCTTTAAAATGATATATGGTACTAAGTGTCACTTTGTTGAGGCAAGGCTCATTATGAGTGAATCCAAAAGAGCAGGGATTAGGAATCTCACAAGTGCTCTTCCACCTCACCGGGTCTGCTATCCATGTACCATGACTGACAATAGACTACCTACAGTAATATGAGCATGTTACAAATCATGTAAAATGCAGTGAGCAGCAAAACATCCCTCCGTCCGTCCAACTCCAAACCACGTATGCTGGTCAGTGTTACAGGAGTGCCTGTGGTCTATCCCATGGAAAGGTAGGGGTTCAACCTGGGTGAGATGCTCCTCCATCAAAGACGACACACACACTCTCACTCGTGCTTCATTGATGCAAAAAAAAAAAAAAACACATCTACAAAAACATAGGAATGACACAAATGCATTGAGCACTAACAACATTTACATTTATTGGGCATCCCACTCCCAAATAACTACATGACAGAAAGGTGTCACAGTGTACTGATCTGGGTCAGAGGCACAGAGGGAGCATGCAAAGTCCAACCTTATTCAGGCCTGATAACTTTACAGGGAAACATGAGCCAGGGCAAGAAGAGCAGTCATCAGGGCCAGAAAACGGCTGGGACTGGCGGCATTTCGCTCATGGAAACAGCATCATTCATAATGGATAGGAGAGGATCAGGTACCTGCACCCAGCCCAGAATAACACTTTGAATCGCGCAACATCCCCGAAGCAAGCCTGAAGTGCGGTGCTGCTTGGTTTCTGAAGTTATTAATAATCAACAAACAAATTTTTTTAAAAGTCAGACAGGAATCAGATATTCTCTCACAGTTTAACGTTATGCATGTTTGCCACCTTTCCTATGTACATCCGAAATCATTTTTCAGGGACACACAACATACTTTCTATGATCTACGATATACAAGGTACGGTGTAAATTATGCACATGCTAAATGACATATAAAAGACTTCCTGCAACATGTATCACACACAAAGGCATTCAAAATACGCCAGACATAGGCGCATAAACTGTTACTTCATGGCCTAATTCACCTGCAGTTTAGTCTGAATATTAATTTGGAATAAACTATAATGAGCCAGCTGTTAGAGTGTAACCGTAACGGCCGCTCCGCGCGCCACCTCACCGTACCTCCGCATCCGGCAGGTCCCCTCCTCGCAAATCGATCACCCGGCGGCCGTTCCGGCCCCCTAGTCGGTATGATCGCGTGAGTAAAGCGTGAATAATGCGACTAACCGGCTAGCTAGACATACTAAACTCAACCAGTTCGCTCTAAACATTTACGATGATAGTTTTCGAATCCTGACAGCTAAGGCGAGCCTAAGACCTGTCACACCGACAGCAGGTCAGTTACGACACTGACCGAAAGGCGCAGCACCCGCTCCAGCGGCACCGCAGCCGCGACCGCCGGGGGAAGCCAAGCCCGTCCGCGGCGCTCTTCGTCATCCGCGCCTCGAAACCTGTAGCCAAGCCGTATAAAAACCGAAATGAAACACACGACGGTACCCACCTTGGTGGTTAAAAAGCCTCCACAGCTTGGTGAAGAGGATACCCATCGCCGCGACGGGCCCGCGAGGCGGCCGGAGCGCCTCTCCACCACCGCGAAACAAAGCAGGCTAAGCGTCAGCTAGACAGTGCCCACCAGCTTCAGCTCTGTCACAGGAAACGCGCCGCTAACTAGCATGGCGGTGGCCGAATAAACCCTCATCCACACACAGGCTCCGGTGTTACGTCCGCTATCCGGGCCGTGCTATGAAAACTGGGACAAGGCACGTATACACTTCTCGGGCCGAAGAGCGGGGCGCTCGACACAGTGTGGAGACTGTAGCTCAGATCGACCCGACTCGGCATCGCTCGGCTGCCAGTTCGTCATCGCTGTGCGCATGTGCGCACCGCGGCGTTATGAAACCATGCGACCAGGTGGGTATCGCTGAGCTGTGGACTCAAGGAATGTGGACGCTTCTCTGTCTATGAAGTTAATTAAAAGAAGAAAAAATAATAATGACATTTTTGTATACAAGACCTATGTATTCTCAAATTGATGATAAGGCAAAAAATGCCTTATTTATCTTTGCTCAGAAATATATATGTGAGATGTTGAATAATATAATCATATTTAAAACGTATGCTGTAATATATATTTGAATATACGTATTTATCATACGTCATTAAACAGATTTTACAATTAGCGGGAGGGTGCACAACATTTTGCAATTTCACAAACACTCCACACTGTCCTCTTCTTGTTGCAGGAATTCATGCTGTCACTGTGCTCCTCGGTCTGTCAGTAAAGCTATAGCTGCTGTAGCTGCTGTATAAAAGCTGTCTGATGTTTTCATTCTTTATTTACAGGCCACCCATATTTGTTACAATTACAGTGAAAACACTGACTTTGCCCTGATGTGTCGCAACACTGAAAAACTTATGGACAAGATGGCAGGTTTGCATCTAGATCTCTTTTCTTGATGCACTGTCTTTGACAAACCATCTTGAGCATGTTTTTATATTGTGAATGCAGCTTTGGTTTATAATAAACATTCACCAGAGTTGACCATCAAAAATCACAGGAAGTCACAACTACTTAGGAGCTGCTGACTAGCAAAGAATTAAGTAATCATTCATTACAAAGAGAAGTGTTGATTTACTAGTACTATAGTGAACTTACAGGAGAACAAATAAAGAAAAATGAAATAATGCATTTATAATTTATGTTTATCTATTTAATTTAAGAAGCCTTTCCCAGGCAACACTTGGCACAAAAAGAGTACACTCTGAACAGGACGATCATCCATTGCAGGGCACACACTCACATTCACACACAATGGGCAATTTAGGCTAAAGATGGGAGGAAACTCAAACAACTTCACAACTACATGACCCCCCAAGTCTTCCATATACACTGACATGATCGTTTATAAATGTAATGCGTTTCAAGAGGAATATGTCTATAGTGAGAATAAAGATGTTTAAAATGTTCTGGAATATAAGCAACTTGCATATGATAAGCAGCTCCATAGCAAACATCTCAATGACACCCTGAAAAGAAAAAGCCCGTATTTATATGAGTAAAAAATGCTTACCTAGACTAGTTACAAGGCAGATAAACAGCATTAAGAAGGAGAGCTACTTTTTTAATTTATTGTTTTATTTTAGAAAACTTTTAAACGGAGCTAAATTTGTTCTTACACATCTATTTTCCATAAAACATATTCTTATTTGAATATACAGTAATAAATTAAAACATGATATTACTCATGCAAATTTGCATTACCCTTTTAGATATCATCTTCCACAAAAATAACAGCACTATTTCATTTGAACAGTGAAACTCAGATGAAGCAGGTACGTAGCAGGGGGCCGGGTGCTGGGGGGGGGGGGGCTCAGCATGCACCACTTTACACATTTGCATAGTAAATGATTTTCTCTTTTTTCTTTTTTAGTCCAGCATGCCTTTTTAGCTATGGCACAGAACCAAAATTTTATTCTTGGGGGCAAAAAAAAGAACAGAAAAGAAAAGATGTTTCTTTATGTAGAAATGCATGTAGAGATGGCCTTTTGGGCAGAGAAGTAGTCTTCTTAATTTCTTTTTACATTTATGCACATATAAAACTCAATAGTGGTGTTGCAAGATACAGACAGAGAGGTTGTTGAAACTGAAGCATGCATTAGTCTGTTCATAGTACCCTACTGTTAAGGCTTTACTGTAAAACCAACAAAACATGACAAATTAATATGAATATTTCAAAATACATTATAGTCATTCTTTCCTTTCACAGGGATAATTTTCATAGAGGTAAATCAACTGTAGCTAGGATGGTTAATGGTGTAGCAGTAAAGAAACGTAAAGAACTTCAGTACTGTAATATAAACTGATTGTATTGAATCATACCTCCTGTTTTGAAGACAGAGGTCTCATTTGTTCATATAAAAAGTATAGAGGTGTAAATGATGCTGCAGCTTGCTGCACTGCAAAGAGCATCTCGATCTATTATCGCTGCAAAGTGTCTTCATAAATGGAGGGCATGTAGTCATAGATCCTTTTCGTTTTGGAAATTGTATAATCCCTACAAAACTGGGTGAGTATTGAATGGAAAAATGTGTACAGAGCAGGTCAACTTGTGGAAATGTGTTCAGGGGTTTTCTAAAAATGTAAAAATATGAAAAGTTAGAAAGTAAGTGTTGATATTTCAAGGGAAGGGTTTCTCAATAAGCCTTGCCATTCTAATCAGGGGGAACTCATTTGGCATTGTGAAATGTCTTTCACATACACATTTGTGACCTCTAAATAAGTCTTTACAAGTGACTTTCGATGTAGGGAACAACACAGCCATCTTGACCTAACTGGATTTCTAATATGGACTCTTGACCAATAAATCTAGCATTCAGTCCATGACGTATAGAAGCCGGTTCTCAAAAAACACATTAAAAAGCATTAAAACATTTCCCATGAAATAGCCTCTCATTGCGATTCACATTTCCGTCCATCTCCATGTCCAGTGATCAGCAGATCAGCCAGAGAGTAGATAATGGCACAAATGACAGTGAGTATCAAAACAGTACAGGCAGCTGGGGCACCTCAGCCAGCATGTGGCGCCAGTCTTTGACAAACTCACATTGAGGGACAAGAAGCTGGCGATGGGGTAGCTGTGATGAGCTACACACTTATAATGTGTTATGCACTTGAAACACCACACAAACATCCAGTTCCATTCATCACTCAACCGTTTATCCTGTCAGCGTTATTGTGATACAGAGCCTGTCCCAGAAGGCAATGGGCTTAAGGCAAGGTAAACTGTGGGCAGGACACCAGTACATCACCAGTTCACATGCACACAGGACAGCGTATTTTCACTGACTTAGTGGAAAGCATGAGTGGACATCGCCACCCACTGTGGTGGTCTGTACTAATAGACCATCCATTCTTAGATGGTTGCTGTCTTATAGCTGCCCGTTGTGCTCTTAGGAGAAGAAATGCAGAAGGTTTCTCTATGTAATTCACAGCTGTTATGTTCTTATGATGATGTTATATGTAACATTAGTCCTGTCTCATTCATTCATTACCAGAACAGCAGCTGGAGGATTCATGTCAGTCAGCACTCAGCACTTTGTATATTAAGTCTTGTATACGTTTGACATGAGCAAACCTGTTTGTCCCTGACTTTGAACAGACAATGGATGGATCTATTTGAGAATCACCTAAATGCTAATGGGAAAATACAAGAAATCAGAGTGATGTTTCTGGTAGTTTGCTTGCTTTCCAAGACCTATTTTGCTGGGAAACCATATTCTATAGACAGAGTTGGGTAATTCAGGTACACAAAGTAAAAGTCCAGACTGGGATTTTGTTTCAACCAACCAGTTGAATACTCTATGACTGTGACTCAACTGGTTGGTTGAAATAAAATCCCAGTTTGGATTTTCACTCTCTGGACCTGAATTACCCAACTGTCTATAGATTGGTTATTTGTTTCTGCTTGTATTCTACTGTGGAGACCATGAGATGTAACAGAGCAATTAAAAATTAGGAATTAATTGTATTCACAATGTTCAGGTAAAAATATTAACAAATATAATAAAAATAGTCAACGTCGCAGCTTCTCTATCTAAGTTGGGCATGTTATGAAGCAGGCAAACTTTCCTAAGACTAAGAACACCCATCCAAGGAATCTTTATCTAATCTAACCAAACTGCTTGAATTACTGAGATGCAGAGCTCTGTGTATTTACAGCATGCACATAGAATCTTCTGTACCTGAAGTCTTTCTGGACATGAAGTAATTATGGATAAGAAATTATTCCAACCTTCTACAATACTCATCAAATTTTCATTTATTTGGATCACAAAATTGACCAAATAAGAGCGATGTCAGTGTAAGGCCACTTCGATCCCTGCTTGTAGACTTAACCAAGTGATCCTTCATCACCTCCCTAATCTACACCTAACTTAACCAGGACGCTGGACTTAGATAGCACCTGAATGGATCAAAGATTTAACTGACACAAAATGACCCTCTCAAACAGGTATGATAACAGCACATACTCAAATAAAACAAATAATGGCATGAATGTGGGGAGAGCTTCACTACTGAGCACAACTGAAGAACTCTGACTCTGAATTAGACATTACTAAATTGTGAAGTACACACATGGTCCTACAGCTAATGACAACATTATACTTAAAATCAGAAAGTCAGACACTCTTTCATACCTTTGTTAAAGCAGCATCACGTTGGGGAGTGACACCTTATATAAATTCACACACAGAGGGAACTCCTGCTCTTCTCCAGATTTGTGCTATCGTAAGCCCTACAGTATGTCAGAATGTGCTCTACATGCATGCGATTCTAAAATATACCTGCTTAACTTAAAGAAAACCATAATGTCACGGGTGAACCTTAACTGCTGAGTAAGTAAATCAAATAGGGGAACATAATGACAGATTTGCCTCATCTTGTTGGAAAACAACAAAAATGTGCAAGAGGGAAAATATTAACAAAGGACCTGGAGTCACTTTAATGTGTTTTGGATGTTCTGCACAGAGACCTAACGTGTTCTGGATGTGCTCCACAAAAAGGACCCCATAGTAGCCAAATGATGATATGCAGTCTATGTTAACAGTCTGGCTATGGCATAGATCAAACATTCCATTGTGACAGCCAATAGTAAATCACAAACTGACTAAAGGTCATTCTCCGTACTTTGGCTGTGGGGCTTCTCTTTGGCCACACTGGTCACCCCTAAATGCAATGCCCGTGTCAGAACTTTCATATCGCTATCGTTGTATTGGCAGCAGGCAGTTCGAGCCTGTGAGCCATGCTTTCACATGGTCTTGTGATGTGCAACCCCCCCACCCCGAGTCCATCAGGTTCGTCAAGGGTGACGTAAGAGATCGGCATTTCAGAGTACTGCAGACTAAAAGCTCAAGGGTGTAAATTTGAGGTGAGTAACTTCTGGTGTTCCCTTCAGAAAAGCCCCCTAATCTCAATGACTGTGGTAGATGCCCTGCAGAGATCATGTGCCCCATTTTTCCTTAGAATGCAAAAGCAACTTCGTGACGAACATACATCCTTCCGATTTAGCTTTGCGCAATGATTAGAAAAAGGGAAACAAAAGGCTGATGACTAAGCAGTATCGCCACCTGTGTTCTCAGCTGCATGAGTGAATTAAGGCAGTGCCCTGCAGTGGTGTTTACTGATGAAGTCCTCATTACTCCTAAGGGGAAAATGTTTCTTCATTGTTTGAAGAAAGTAAAGGCAGCCTTCAGTATGAGTCTGGAGATGTCAGCTGTGTTTCTGAATAACCAGGTTTGTCATATGCTCCAGGGTGCAGTATACAGAACACACAGTATCCTGCCATTAAGCATTTGTGGATAGATGGATTGGGAGTTTGATGCAGCACACTGCATGGCCAGGTTCTTCAGTAACTGCCCAACAACAAATTATTAACTAGCATGTATTACTATATTTTCAAAGGGGTTAATCAAAAAAAGCAAACCAGTCTAATCTAGGTAAATGTATGGTAATCTATAAAATGTATGTGAGACACGGCCCACTAGATCTAGGGTGAAAAATGTGCCCCACTTTTTCTATAAGCACTAATAATATTGGTTGTATTTTAACCAGAAGATAATGACACTTAAACTGAGAAGAAGATTCCTGTAGCTACAACAGCTTTTGACAATTTTTTTACTAAGTTACAAGCAGGACATGGAAGACTTCAACGAGGCTTTGAAATATAGTCACAAAAAAGCAAAGTACAAACAAAGTTTGGGAATATTACAACAAAAATGCAACCCAGGCAAAATGGTGCTAAGTACCAACTTTTCCATCTTAGAAAGTAAACTTTTTGTTTCCCGGTATGTTTTTGAACTTACAAAAGATGATGGAGAGCTGTGAGATGTTGTAAATCTCTGTATATTTAACAGCAAAAGCAGATTCAAAACCGATGCCCAGTGTTTTAAGCACCTTCCACGTTTGATACAGCGATGAGTGCTATCTGTCAAATGAACTTATTCAAAAACCTGTTTATTACCACCGAGAAGATGCTTCACATAGACAGGACGAGCAGGCAAACATCATATTACTCCTCTGTTACTCGTTGATCATGGTAGCATTGTGAAGTTTCACTGAAAAAGGTCGGATCTGGGGGCTGTATGCTGTGCTAGGCTTGAGAAAGCAGCGCTGTGTAAAACAACATCGTATAAACAGGTACAAAGTGACACTGATGCAGAAAAGGTACATTCTGATTGGCCTTCTACCTTGGGGAAGAAACTCACTGTTTCCTCTGACAGTGTGTCCACCTCTAACCCTTTTACTTTTTAATAACGGTAATGTCATGTTCTGTATGTTGGGGAAATGCCAGGCATATAGTGAACACAGTATGATGCAAACAGCATACAACACCAACAGGTAGCAGTTATGAATTACAGGCCAGCGAGAGTATCTGTCTGGCTTTAACTCACTCCTTGGGAAAGAGCAGCAGATGTCTCCTAGGCAGGTTCTGAGCACATCGAGCCAAGAAAGGCATATGATGTGATGCCTAACCTCCGTTACAATGAGCTACCTTGAATTTATCCCCTCTGTGAGCAGCTTATGAGTTCTGACATCTGTGTGATGCGATGCAGAGGAAGGGTCTGCCCTGTCCTCAGTGGGAACATGGAGATGGAGCGTGGGCCAGTCGGCAAAACCCGCATGTTGCTGGGTATCCCGTTTGGAAAGAGCTGCCCCGTGGTGAGGAAAGGCAGGAAAAAGGGGTACCTCAAGACCTGGGTGCATCCCCATTAGCACTAGGTGTCATTGGGCAGAGAATACAGAAACTAAGGGCGTTAGGAGGGTCACAACCATTAATATTACACTGGGAAACGCAAACTGTGCCGCACCTCTGGGTTTTGGGACGCGCCAGCCAGCGAGACAGACCAATTCAATGAAGGACATCACCAATGTGTCATGCTCCGTCCCCACCGACCCCGTAAACGTGCAAAAGGTCGGGTGCCCGCTGTGTTTTGTGTGCGCTTTTCGCATGCTGGCACTGGTTCGCGGTGTGGCGGGGCACGGCGGCGGCCGGCTCTGCGGATGCAGGGGAGCCCCGTGCCGCCTGGACGCGCCTAGCAGCCACCAAATCTCTCACGATGCCTGAAGCCGCAACAAGGTGAACGCAGCCTCGCCTTTTCTCTCGCCGCCATCAAAGGCACCTCCCCTTCGCTTTCGATCAGTTTGGTGTCACCGTGTCAATACAGACGCGTCCAGATTGGGCTTGCAGATTTATTTGCTGTGTGGACAAGAACCAGTGCCAGAGGGAAAGGCTGCATCACGCGTACGGATAGACTGACACGACTGGACGGGGGCCATCTCGGCTCCGTGGTACTGGGTTGGCGAGGCGGGAGGCCCGGGGCGGTCCAGTGGGCCCGCTCAGAGCCTATGCCTGGAGTCGTGGCTGTAGCCCCCGGGGGAGCTGCGGTTGCGGTGTGGCTTGTATGTGTCCTGGTACGGGTCGTGGTACTCCTCTTCCACCAGGGGGTAGTGGTCCCGGCTGTGCTGTGAGCCAGAGGACAGGCGGTTGCGGCTCTTGCGCGCGCGCTCATTGTGGTAGTTCTCATCGGCGGTCACCAGGCTGCGGCGTTCGATGGGCGAGTGGTCGCCCGTGTGGTTGGCATGTCTCAGTCTCTGGCCCTGTAGGACACACAAGCTCAACTGACTGGAAGCCGGCAATGAGATGGTGAAACAGCCGAAAAACGCAAATGCTAGCGTGATGAGCGGTCGCTTCGGCATGCACTGACCATTAATGCGATTAAAATGGCCAATCGTTAGGCTTGGCCCACATACACAGGGGCTTTTTATTTTATACACTTTTATAGTCTTCACTTTGGTGACGTTCTTCTCAAGAATAACAGGCTGCCATTAATGCCATCAGTGAAAAATGCTGATGAAATACCAGGCATACTGTAGTAAAGTGGGAGAAATCCACAATGGCCCACATGCGTGCATAAGGCATGTACCTGCAGTCCAGAGATGGCGCTGGGGTACGGGGAAAGTGCTGTGGAGCCCAGGTTTCGGCCCAGCAAGGGGTTGAGAGGGGTGCTACTTGAAGTGTGGGTGGCACGCCAATAGGCTTCTAGGTATTCAGCCAGATGTTCACAGGCATCCTCCAGCTGGTTCTCATCCAGAATGATGTCGAACATCTCCTGGAGAACCCAGAGAGTAATTGAGGTGAGGGGACACAGAGGTGCACGAGCCCGGGGGTGGGAAGCAGAGCGGAGACCCACCGGGGGGCACTGGGCCAGCTTGTCCGCCGCCACCAGCTGCACGTTCAGATGTTTACTCTGGGACTTCCCCCGGGATTTAATGAGTCGCTGGAGGACCTGTGGGCAAACACCAGAGGCACTGCATTAACCAGTGCAGTGCCTAAGCTCCAGCAGAAGAGAAATCACAGTACCAGCTATCCGTGGGGGAGACTGAAATCTGCTCAAGATATTAGGGATATTAGCTTGAGCAAAGAAACTAGCAATACTCAGACAGGGAAACATTATATAGAAAATATCCATAACAATGAGATCTAGAAGTGACATTATGGGTAGCAAACTGCCTTTACCTTGGGAGAGGAGACTTTGACATGCACAATAATTGGGGCCAGGGAGGTCTTCAGTAGCTGTGCTGGGTGGTTAATGGTGTCAGCGTCCAGCACTACTAACTGCAAGGATCTTGCAAGCTCAAAGATTCTCTCAATCTCACTCTGGACCTCCGCTGTGGAAAAACAAAACAGATTTCCTCAAAAGCATGTCAAATGTGTTAAATGTATGGTAAATATGAACCATATAATATTACAGGTAATTTACAGCATTATAATAGAGAAAGCTGTTGCATTTCTAATGATCTTCCACTAGAGGTCAGAAAGGAGACAAAAACAAAAATACTATGTAACATTCCTCAAAATGGCTTTTATACTGGAGGTCTTGAAAACTCATAATTACTGAAGTAAAATGGAATCCTGTTAATCATACCTAGACTGGACCTGGTGTTGGACCTTTCGATGATGGCCCTCTTGCTGGGGTTGTTCAGGACAGACCTCTTCGCAAGTGAAATGTCTGCTGTGACTCTTGTAATCGATATCCTATGTCAAATATATAGACCAAAAAACAGACCAGGTTTGAGGACCTGAAATAGGCAAACGATCGAGGATGTTTTCATTTGAACCCACACAAGGCCAACATATGAAAAGGCTGTCCAGCTTCCCTGCAGAACGGCTGCGGGGCACAGCGCCACTCTGTGGACTGACGGCACCTCACCTGCCATCAAACCTGTGCTTCAGGAAGTCAAAGAGTGCTTTCTGCATCATGTCTGTCACCTGCCCCAGGGGCCAAGGACAAGAGGAAATGAGAGAAGGAGAGAAAGACAGAGAGAAACAGAGGGAAGGGTTAAGGAAAACAGAAGGAAAGCAAAGAGTGGAACAGATCTGACCCTTATAAAGCTTTTAGGAAATGTCTCACAGCTAAAGAGAGCCAATGTGGAGAGATTTTGTTTTGTCATGACCGTTAATAAGAATATTATGATTCTGCTCTGTTTACTATGGGGTGCTTCAGGCTCCCCTTTCCAAAGCAGCCACTGGCCAAGCTACTGATGCAAGGAAACTGCTCTCCATTCTGCTCATTTCCCACGTGCATGTTTACTGGCTGACACTGCCACTCACATCTCTTATATTAGTTTAGTCTGACAGAGGCAGTTGAACTCTGTAGCACCTCAAATTCTAAGGAAGGAACTCTCCAGGCTCTCAATCTATCCTTGATATAGCTGTGCTGCTGTAACCAAGGCAACTTTGAGAAATTTCAAATTTATCCATTAATAAATTAACATTTTAGAGAGCATTTTATTAAAATTGGCCCTTACTGGGCCTTAAAGGTGCAGTTCACCCCAAAACTGAAAAAGATACGTATTAGAGAGGCTTTAGTGCTGTCTATCCGTATAGGTTGTTCTGCAAGAAGTTGCCTAGGTTTGGAGATATCAGCCATAGAAATGTCAGGCTTCAATTGAATATAATGGGAGTGAATGGCATTCTTTTTGGGGTGATTAAAGCACCAAAAAAATACATTTAAAAAAATCAACAACAATGTGTCTTACCAGAAATCATAACTCAGTTACTGAGGACAATCCACAGACTTTGTAAAGAGCAGTTTAATGTAGGAGCTACATTCTTCTACCGGACTCCACACACCAATCATATCACTGTGCAGAAGATATCGCTGGGGTGCTTGTACTCATATCTTCTGTGCAGCGATACATTGTTGTCGAATGTTTTAAAATATGTTTTTCTGGCACTTTATTCACTACAGTAAGAATAATGCCATTCAATCCCATTATATTTGAGAGAAGCCCGACATTCTATGCCTGATATCTCCAAATCTAGGCAACTCCCAGCAGAACAACCTAGATGGTTAGATGGCACTAAAGCCCCTCTAAAACATCTTTTCACTTTTGGGGTGAACTGCCCCTTTATAAGGCCTCACTTTGATTTAAAATATCCTCATTATTATCCTCAGTACATACTGTAAGCATTCCAGATTCATATATAAAGCTCAGCAAAGGCTGGGAGAGCCACTGGTCAAATGTGCAGAATATGGGCAGGAATGGAGGAGAGAAGTTGGTGATCAAGTCAATGGAGATACAGACAGCCATGGGCGAAGTCACCTGCCTCATATCCCTTCAGGGAGGGTCCGACCAGAACCACGGGCCTCATGGAGGGCACCACGTCGTAGGGAGGAACGTGCTCAGTCTGAAGCAGAAGCCAACAGATGGAGGCACTATCAGCACACTGCTCACCATTAATAATCGAGTACAGTTACTGCTATCTCCATCAATTCTGCTGCTCTTTAGCCCTGAGACCCTGAACTGCATAAGTGGTTGGAAGAATGATTTGTAAGAAATGGGAAGTGGAAGTGTGAGCGGATGACCTTTGTAAGTGGGGTCCCGATGTCCAGCAATGAGGAGACTGTGCACTGATATTGGTCTGGAGTTGGAAATCGTTACCTAATCCACGGCAGGCTTTCATTTCAAACCTGCCACTCTCCAGATCTTAATCCCAGAAAACATGTATGGCATGAACTTGACAGAAGAGTCAAAGCAAAGCAGCCCACAAACCCCCTACATCTCTGGGAACTGCTGCAGATGTGTTGGCATGACCTGTCAGGTGAACTCAAACGTTTGACAGGTTCCCCCTCCATCCATCAATTCATTCATCCATCCATCCTCTAACTGCTTATTCTGCTCAGGGTCTCGGGTGTGACTGCTACTCCACATTTTATCAAGTATACGTACAGCTGTTGACAAGGTGGATCACCGTCTTGCCACAGTTGCCACAGTCTATTACCTGCGACTTGTGTCATATGGTAGGAAAAGCTATGGAGGCATTTATGAGCTTTGGTGTGATCTGCTCCTGGTGTATGGAGAGGGTAATATACAAAAAAGTGTATGGATCCTTTCTCTAGTTGCACCATCTAATTAAGTTAATGCAGCATTTTGTCTACTTGGCCCAAGCAGTATGACTGTGTCATGAATCTGTTGATCCTTGTCTTGCCAGAAAATAGAACAGGAAGAACTCGATGAAATTCTCTGAATAAGTGATGCCACCTGTGACGTTATTTCCTTATTAATGGTGAAGAAGAAGCAAATTCCATGAAGCCAATACCACACAATTCAAATCAGAGCTCAGCACCAGAACACTATTTTAAATGTCTTTGGCTTCATTTTAGTCTTTTTTATATCTAATTCGTGCCATGAAATGCTTGCTGCCTTAGCCAGTACTAGCCTCTTTGTTTATATGTGTCAGTATATATGACCTTATAAATAAAATATGCACTCACCACCTTCTGTTTCTGCTTTCCTGTGAAGAAAAGCAGAGGACAGTGAGTACAGCACATTCCCGCCTGGCACACGCGACACTGATGCAGGAACGGCGCTGGGAGAGTGCCCCACACTCCATCACTCTGCCAGGCCGTACCGTGGCAGCCTGTATAACTTTACAAGATGTTTCAAACCACAAACGAAACAGGGATATACAAAGTCATACCAAGTAAGAATTGACCCATTAAACACAAATGTAACTACATTTAATTTGCACAAATATGTGTAACACCATGTTTCTGTAAGACCTCTGCAGTGAACCCACGTGGGGTACTGTACCCAGACTGCCTGCTATGGGGGTCACTGGAAAGCCAGCTGGAGCAGCAGTGTTAGTCTTTGTGTGGGAGTGAAAGGATGGTGCTCATGTGGTTGGTCAGAGGTTCTGAGGTCAGCCGTCGCCTTAAGAGCATGTACAGGCCACATGCCATCTCGAGACATGCCCTGAGCACGGAGCAGAGGATTCGGGGGGGATAGGTTAGTGAGTGCCATCCCGTGCTTAATTAGGCTCTGTCCCCTCTTTGTCACTGTGGCAGCGGCTGGAGAGGGAGTAGAAAATAGTGGACAGAGTATATACACAGCTGCCATCACACTCACCCCTCCTACTAAGCATGCGCGGCCCAATTTGAAAAGTAAATAGAATTTATCAGTCTTATAGTACTTTGTTAAATGTTAAGCTACAGCACATTATAGGTATGGGGCCGTTATACATCTCATGTCTGACAACTGTACCACTTTAAGGGAGGGGTGGCCAGCACCCAGAAGGCCATGCCGGGCCAGTCCCATGGGGTGTGGCTCCAGCTCAGGCCTTAGCTACTCAAAGCAACGCGGCACCTTAAACCTCATCAGTATCCCCAGGGCTGCTTTGGGAAGGCTCACCTGCAGAGGGAGGGGTGGGTCTGAAAGTACCTGAAACCATCTCTCCTAGACTGGAGGAGGAATTCCCACTGGACTTACTGCAAGGGAGCAGGGAGCAGAGCAGAGCATTAGCGGCTGAGAGAGAACAAGTGGCGCTGTGCTCTGGGTTTCAGGGGAAAGGCTCTTTCATTTTCATAGGTCACCTAGTGTGGATTTAAGCATGTAGTAAGAGAATGCTTGTTAAGGCATCGTGGGATCGATAAACTCCCATCCTTAGCAGCAATTCTATTTAGAACTTGTTCACTGCGTACATTCTGGGAAAGTCAGCGGCAGCAACACGTTTCTGCATTTCAGCAGCTACATTTTGCATTAGAGTTTATTTGTTTGAGAGACTACCTACGTCTCTTATAAGATCCTATTGGACAAATACACTTATTTTGCGATGTACATATTTGTTTGTGAAATAATCTGACATACTTTGGCATGAAATCTGTATATACACACTGACTACAGCTGACCGACTGATGTACTTTGGCATGAACATCTGTATGTACACACTGACTACAGCTAACTGGTGTATGTTAGCATGAACATCTGTATGTACACACTGACTACAGCTAACTGGTGTATGTTAGCATGAACATCTGTATATACACACTGACTACAGCTGACTAGCTGACATACTGTACCTTTGCATGAACATCTGTATGTACACACTGACTACAGCTAACTGGTGTATGTTAGCATGAACATCTGTATGTACACACTGACTACAGCAGTGACTGAGACAGTGATGGATCTGTGCCTATTTCTGGAAGGTTGTGAGTTTGAATCCCGCAGCCAGAAGAATAATCATACTGCCACGAGGCCCTTGAGCGAGGCCCTTAACCCCAATTTCTTTGGGGTTCAGGATGCAGGATGACCCTGCATTCTGGCCCCAAGCTTCGCTCTCACCAGTATAAATACTTGTGTCTTGTGTCGCCCAGGGAGAGCAAGATGGAGAAACTGATGACTATTGCTCTGAACTCCTGTGGGCTTCAACACATAAATTCACTGCTGTAATGCTGTACCGTGTATCAGCCACATCCAGGAATGCATAAGCAGAAACAGAAGGCAGAACTGGGGCACTGTCACCACTGTCCCTTTGGGGGACTCTAAGACCTCAAACGGCATGTTCTGTTCCACCGTTTGCTGTCCACCCTGTGTCATGATGTGTGTCACCTATACAAGGTGTTGCCGCTTTATGTATCAAAGGCACATGCTATAAATTTACTGTGTAACTCTGACAGCTGAAATTTTGTACTATTTCATGGGTGCTATTACTCACAAGTAGGTAACCCTAAACTCTAAACCCTAAACCCTAGCCCTAACCCAGTATGTAAGGAATTTAATGTCAGTCCTGTATCTATCGTCTCTCTGTGGTAAGATCTGTCAAGGGTGCCCTCATTATCAAAGCAGCTTAGAAAATAGCACAGAGTTGTGAATTTTAATTAAGCCTCCTCAGGGGCACCTGTGCTCAATTAGCCCCCCTGAGCAGCTGAGGACACAGTGTCCCACTCTGAAACCCAGGCCATCAGCTGACAACACAGAATCACACACATGAGCTGTGAGCCGTCCTATGAGCAGCCCCCAGAGTCTCACCCGTGGAAGCGCCCCCGCTTTTGCTCTTGCTGGATGCGGATGTTCTCCAGTTTGAGAGGGCTGGGGATGAAGCCGATCTCACAGCCCTCCTTCACCAGTCGGCCGATCCACCAGTCATTGTTGTACTTCTGTGGGCCAGAAAACACAACAGAGTCCAGGCTCAGCCTTCCAGGAATCTGACAAACCGGGGGAACTCCAACAAAACCATGAGAGACGCCCTGCCATTGGATAGGACCTCAGCCCAGAGGTCAGTTACAACCATAGCAGGAGCCAATGGAAAACAGGTACACAGCTGGGCTTGCCTGTCAGTATTACAGTGAAAGTCAGGTAGTAAACCCAAAATGGAAAATCCAGCTGATCTGGGCTGAATATATTAGGCATTCATAGTAAGCAAACTGTTCCCCAGAACTCCACAGTTTTATGATGTGGTGATCATAATGAAACAGCTGGAATATACTGGCCTGCTTAACAAAAACAGAGTGGGCTTTGTTTATAGATGTACTGTGAGCCATTCAGTTGGCAGTTTGCAGTCTCAGTATATCTAAGAACATCAAAACAGAATGAATGATGCAGTCGTGACGAGCTCGGTATTTTGGAGATACCCATCCATCCCTTAATTAGAAGGACTCAGGTTTCAGATGCCGATATCTTTGCCAGGTGGCAAAACAACAAAAACACTATCCTGTGGGGCAGGGACTTCATATCTTCACCTCTTCAGCTACAGGATACTGTACCTCTTTGATATGGAGGAAGTCCTTGGCATCGAATGAGATGGCGGTTCCTGCTACAGGGACTTCCTCATCCAGGGCACCACAGTAGGAAACATTGGTCTTCACAGCAAAGGCCACTGCTTTGGCCTAGGAAGAACCAGGGACAAAGAACATCCAAGGATCATAAGAAGACTATGCTGATGAGGTACAGACATGAGCAGATGAGTAGGGGTAGCTGGGAGGCATGCTCACCTTGGCCCTCTCCAACTGCAGGGCAGCCTGCTGCTCACGCTCCTGCCGTCCACCCTCACGCTCCTCCTCCAGAGAGACATCTGAATCTGATGGTCTGCTAGTGTAGGAATCAGCTGAGCCCTGTGGGGACAGGAGTCCCATTGTTAGTAACGGCCATGTCCATCTGAGTCACGGCATACTGTTAAGGCTGGTCACATCCAGTTGAGTCACAGTAGTCTTTTAAGACCAGCCACATTCAATTGAGTCACAACCCACTGTTAAAACTGGCCAAGTCCAGCTGAGTTACAGGCCACTGTTAAAGTAGGCCATATCCAACTGTGTCACAGCCCTCTGTTATGGCAAGCCACATCCAGCTGAGTCACAGTTCTCTGTTAAGGCTGGCCATGTCCCGCTGAGTCACATTTCTCTGTTAAATCCAATCACGTCCAGCTGAGTCACAGCACCTGTTAAGGCTGGCCACATCAAGCTAAGTCACAGTGCTCTTTTAAGGCCAACCATATCCAGTTGAGTCACAGCACTCGGTTAAGGCCAACCATGTCCAACCTAGTCATAGTGCTGTTAAGGCAGGCCATGTTCAGCTCAGTTACAATGCAGTTAAAGGAGGCCATGCCCAGCTGAATCCCATTGCTTTGTTAAGGGCAGTCATGTACTGCTAAGTGAGAGCACTCTGTTAAAGCCAGCCACATCCAGCTGAGTCACAACACTCTATTAAGGTCAGCCATGTATAGCTAAATAACGGCACTCTTTTAAGGCCGGCCATGTCCAGTTGAGTCACAGTGCTGTTAAGGCAGGCCATGTCCAGCTGAGTCCCAGCTCTCTGTTGAGGTTAGCCATGTCCAGCTAAATCACAGTGCTCTGTTAAGGCCACCCACATATAGTTGAGTCGCAGCACAAAACCAGCTGTGTCCAGCTGAGTCACAGTGCTGTTAAGGCCAGCCGTGTCCAGCTGAGTCACGGTGCTGTAAAAGGCAGACCATGTCCTGAGTCACCGCACTGTTAAGGGAGGTCATGTCCAGCTGAGTCACAGCGCTGTTAAGAGAGGCCATGTGCAGCTAAGTCACAGTGCTCTGTTAAGGTCAGCCATATCCAACTGAGTTACAGTGCTCTGAAGGCAGGCCACATTTTGCTGAGATGCAGCATTTTAAGGCCAGCCACCTCAAGCTGAGTCACAGTCCTGTTATGGTTAGCCATGTATAACTGAGTCACTGCGGTATGTTAAAGCTGGCTACAGCAGCTGTGTCACAGTGCTCTGCAAGCCCCGACATGTCCAGCTGAGTCAAAGTGTATGTTAAGGCCAGTCATATCCAGCTGAGTCACAGTGCCCTATTAAGGCTGGGCACGTCTAGCAAAGTCACAGGGCTCTGTTAAGGCTCAGTCATGTCCACATCAGTCACCTGGAATATGCACCTCTATAACTTCCCCCAGCCATGTGCATACCATGTGCTTGTGGTAATGACTTATCAAGCCCATGAAATAGACCCCTATTATTCAAATCACGGTCCTCGAGGTCTGAGCACTGCTGGTTTTCCAGCCTTCCTTTACCTGTGAGCCAGGTGTGAAGCCTCTGACCAATCAGAGTCAGTAATTATTAAACTAACTACCTGGGAGAACTGAAAACAAGGCCTGGATTTGGAATTGAGGTCCAGATTTGACGAGCTCTGAAATAGACTCAGAAGGGAAACACATTCATTAACCAAAGAACTTCAACCAAATTGCCTCAACAGATAAATCCAGCTACACAGATGGGCAAAGACCAATGACACTTTCCAGCATGTCATCAGATAGCCAGGTCCTCTGCATCACAAACAGGCTGATCACGCGGAGGTATGTTTGTGGAGTACGTGTTGTACTGTGGGAGCAGTTGAGTATGAAGAGTCACAGTCACAAAGTACTCCAGTAGTTGGTAAAAACAAAATCTTGGTCTGAATTTGTACTTTCTGGACCTGTACTTTCCATCTGTGTCTATAATGAATTATTTTTGTGAGTAACTTCCCCCAACTGCTTCACTGTTATCTTCCTGCAGGCTATCTATGCGTATGCTGGATAATGAGGCACTACAGCAGTGCTGTTTCAAACAAGGACATACAAGCACTGCTCTGGGGCAGCCCAGCAGAAGTGAGAATCAAGTCTTATCTCTTTCAGCATAAAATAATATCATATTATAACTATTGTCAACGTACAAATTGAAAAGCTCTCTAATGAGACTTTAAAAATACCAGTCAAAAGCAAAATTTTCTGTTTTTAAAGGAAAATTGCAAAAGTTCTAAAAGCTGATCTGGATAGGCATAGTTTAGCTACCCTTAAAGACCACTGGGTAGATATAGCTTAGTGATCCTCAAAGATCACAGAACAGGCCTAGTTTAGATATCATCAAAGACAACTGGTCAGACGTAATTTAGTTATCCTCAAAAATAATTGGACAGACCAAATTTAGTAACCATCAAAGATTACTGGAAAGACATAGTTTAGTAACCTTCACATATCACTGGATAGATACAGCTTAGTTATCCTCAAAAATCACTGGACAGACATAGCTTAGTTACCCTCAAAGATCGCTGGACAGACCTAGTTCAGTAACCTTCAAAGATTACTGGATAGACATTACCTAGTGATCTTCAAAGATCACTGGAAAGACCTAGTTTAGTAACCTTCAAAGATCACTAGATAGACATATCTTAGTGATCTTCAAAGATCATGGGACAGACCTAGTTTAGTTATCATCAAAGATTACTGGTCAGACCTAATTTAGTTATCCTCAAAAATCACTGGACATATATAGCTTAGTTACCCTCAAAAATCACTGGACAGATCTAGTTCAGTAATCTTCAAAGATCACTGGAAATATCTAATTTATTAACCTTCAAAGATCATTGGACAGACATAGCTTAGTTATCCTCAAAGATCACTGGACAGACAGCTTAGTTATCCCCAAAGATCACTAGACAGCACTAGTTTAATTATCTTCAAAGATTACTGTTTTTATACCTATGACGCATTTTCATTTGAATCATGTGAGAATGTAACAGTGGAGGTGGTAGAAGACAAGTCATTGGCCTTTTGAAATGGTTTCACCGTGGGTCTACAGGCTAGTGCTATGCTAAGTGGGATCAAAGTCACACTGATTAAAGCAGAGGAGTGTTGCTAGGGACACCCTTTGAAGCTCATTGAGTGAATTGAGAAGAAATAATAAAACGGGAAAGATAGGGTCATAGGGAGGCTCAGGTGATGCAGTGACTGGGGTAGATGGGGTCATGAGGAGGGATGGGCAATGCAGTGAATGGGAGAGATGGGGGTCATAGGGAGGCTTGAGTGATGCAGTGACTGGGGTAGATGAGGTCATGGGGAGGGCTGGGCGATGCAGTGAATGGGAGTGATGGGGTCATCGGGGTGGTCCGGCCAATGCAGCGAATGGGATCACAGGGAGACCTGGGCAATGCAGTGAATGGAGTCATGGGGAGAGCACAAGCGATGCAGGGGATGGGAAAGCACAGTAATGGGGAGGTCTGGGTGATGCAGTGAATGGGAGAGATGGGGGATGGGGAGGCCAGGGCGATGCAGTGAATTGGAGAGACAAGGGCAAGGGGAGGTCCAGGCAATGCAGTGAATGGAAGAGATGGGGTCATGGGAAGGCCCAGGGGATTCAGTGAATGAGAGAAATGGAGTCATAGGGTGTATTGGGCGATACACTGACTGGGGGGGATGGGGTCATGGGGAGGTCTGGGCGATGCAGTGAATGGGATCACATGGAGATCTGGGCAATGCAGTGAATGGAGTCATGGGAAGGCACAGGCAATGCAGGGGATGGGAAAGGCACAGTAATAGGGAGGCTTGGATGATGCAATGAATGGGAGATGGGGGCACTGGGAGGCCCAAGCAATGCAGTGAATGGAAGAGAATGGGGGCATGGGGAGACCTGGGCACTGCAATGAATGGAGTCATGGGGAGGCACAGGTGATGCAGAGAATGAGAGAGATGCGATAATGGGGAGGCCTGGGTGATGCACTGAATGGCAATGGCATGCAGCTTTCCTACGGAGTTGTATTTGAGGTGTCTAAGGGAAAGCCACGTCCACAAACACTACATGCCTTACTCAGCTGATGTACAGTGGTTAGCAGTGACTTTATTTACAGCTTAAGCTGTAGCCAGATGGCATTTCTCAGTTTTGCGCAAGGATACAGCAGTGGGTCTCCGCATCAGTCCCAAATGCGGTGTGTGAAGCAGAATGGAACCTGCTTACCTCAGTTCCTGCAATTTGATCGGCCAAAAAACATAAGGAGGGGTCTTTACATCCCCACACTATTAAGGTTATTATTTAGGGTTAGACCGCTCTTTATTGCTTTATGTCATCATCCTCTTGCATTAAATTGAATTTGTAGCATGCTTGTGATAAATTAGAGGCAACCACCCTCAACTGCGAAGGAGAAGCTGGTTTTTCATTTCAAAAGGAGCTGTGCTCTACCACACTGAGCTGCTGAACAGGGCTCTTTGATCCTGGAATCAAACGCTTTCTTGTTCATCCTCGTTCACACCTCTTCCAGCCTGACTAACCCTTCCTGTGCCTCAGCCCAAAAAGCAAAACAAGCACCATCCCTGGACTTGTGAAGCTGCAGGCTTCTACATGGCTGGTGGCACAGCTGAGTTATTCCAGACTGCGAGGACACAGACAAAGCCATCAGTAAGGCCTCCTTCAGACGGCCGTCTGCTGTAGAAGGGAGTGCTCTCCTCCTACGCCACACGGGTGTACATACAGAGAGTTCCCAGCTCGTTCAGTGTGGAAAGCCTACGAATGACGTTTCATCATTCTGCAATATTCCAATTTTGTGTACAATATACTGTCTTAATATTATTTCTGTGAAATAATTCACTCATCCACCCAGGCCATGCACTGTATCCTGTATCTGCATCTGTACACAGTGTGTATGTACTTACTCCATCCTGCAATTAGTGTGTTTGCTGCTTTTATTCATTTTATATATATATATATATATAAATAAAAATAAATGACTCTGGGAGATACGCACAGGAATTCCAATGTACTTGTATTGACCTGTACCTGTGCAAATGGCAATAAAAATATCTATCTATCTATCTATCTATCTATCTATCTATCTATCTATCTAACTAATCTATTTCAAGATAAACAAGCAGAGATCAGTGGGCTGCTTATGCACCTAGATATGTAATAACATCAATCCAGCTTTACTGCTGAGTCTGACTACTACAGGTATCACTTTACGATGTCCTTTTAAGAAATGAATCTAAAATAATTTCCTTATCAGTTGCTTTATCCCAGGAGGTCACAAATCTCCCAGCTTTCCAGTTTGGGAAGCAGAAGCAGTGTAATGGCATGATGTCCACTGACCAAATCCCAAGTTGCGTTAGGCCCCTAGCCCAGGTCTCGCAGACGGCCACACTCTGCTGTGCACTGAAGCCGCTGGGGGGTGTTACAAGCCCCCATCCCATTAGCCACACATCACCCTGCAATCATGCTCTCTCATCAAGGAGAGAGAAAGACGGGCGAGTGGAGGGCCAACTCTGAAGGGAGCAGACTGCAGCAGCACAACACCCAGGGGCTTATGGGAGTGTATTCTGAGTGACCCCTGTGAAAGATCACTAATGGACGACAGAGCGGCACCGCAGCTGAAGCATTCACTCATTTCTGTGACATTTCTGCCGTCACGCCCATGCTGCATCAGCAGCTTCCCATACTACACACGCTAACTGAATTATTTTTTAAACTCACTACTCCCCACACAGACCTCTAACATCAATGAAGTAGTTTTCCTGTTTTTATGTGCCGTATCATGGCTTCACTCTGCTTTCTTGATGTCCCCCAGTTTGCTAATACATTTTATAGATAGTATTGTAGATGGAAATCCATAGTGTGTGTGCACAGCCTGTGATGACCTGGCATCCCTTTCTGGGGTGTATCCCTGCCTGGTACAGCCTGGCATTCTGGGATAGAATCATGATAAATGGTTGGAAGATGGATGGACAGAAGAGGTATAATGATAATTACAACAACCATTATTATTATTGTTTTCATGTAGTTCCCTTGTCAACACATAATATGTGCACACCAATTACTGCTGCCTATAAAAAAAAAAACGTAACCCTCAGTGTCGGAGCTCAGAGCATAAAACCTGTCAACGTGACTAAATTGTACGAAATGTAGGATTTATACTGGGAAGCGTCATCTGGTGCGAGTATTTACACTGTAATCAGCATGCCTGTTAAATATGCATATGGTTATTTTGATGTTTGTTTTGACAGCCTAGCGGAGCCCGGCTGTGCCCATATCAGGCTGCGTCTGTCAGCAGCCCCCCCCCCCCCACCTCACTGGGCACCCCGTCAGTGTCACATGAGAGCCGTTACATAAAGAAGGGAGCCGGTGAGAGCGGCCTCTGCTAACACTGCTCCCCATGACATCATCACCCTGCGTGATTCATCATCCCCCTTCTCTCTCTCTCGCTCTCTCTGTTCACGCAGATATTCATTTAAGGCTAGATCTGCTCTTTTCCCTGGGCCATTAGCTCCTATTTATGTCACTGGTTTTTACTGTTATTCCATTATAATTGTCAGTGATTGAAATGATCTAAACCACTGGTGAGCATTATGGCAATTTCCTTAATCACCACAAGCATTAGTCATTGTTACTGTGATTACTAATTTCGGATTTCTCAAAATTATATATTGTTTTTATTGATATCTCATCCAGGTTGTACCCCACTCTTGTGCCATCCTCTCCCTGGGATAGGCAACAGGCATTGCCGTGACATTGACTTGGTTAACCAGTCAGAAGATGGACAGATAGATGGATGGACAGAAGGATTGATGGATAGACGTTTCCACTGAACAATTGTTAAAGTCTGTGTGGTGTGATTTTAAGCTTAGTTGTTTCACATGTTTGAACACGTATTTTCAGGAACATGGCAGATACAAATAACCATCCTCTTATGAGCTATGGTTTCTCATTCAGCCTGTGTTGTACTGTGGCTCCCTGCTTACCCAGCGGAAGGAGTCTCTCAGTGCTGTCTGGCTGCCAGGCTTTCATTTCAGCCGTGCTGCAGCTTTGCTCATGACCCTAACTGTAACCCAGCTTCCAGGATCGCCACACCTCAAAATTTCCTGTTGGTCTTATATTGGTCCCCTAACTGCTGCCAGAAGGAAAGGCATGCGGGCTGGTGGCAGTCTGTAACAAAACCGGGACTCCAGCAACAACTCAGACCACATCACAGTGAAAACAAAGCCTCTTTTTTTTTTACAAAAACTTGTAGGGGGTGTAGGGCAGTGTCTCTTGGACCCTTGAGCAAGGCTCTTAGCTCCCTGAAATATTCCAGGGTTGCCAGATAAGGTACCTGGCCTGTCCCTGCTCTTTGCTCTTACCGGTATATATTGGTGCTTTTCCACTGCCAGCAAGAACTGAGCAAGTCCCGAGCCATACCGCAAACTGGTGGTTTTCCATTGTAGATTACCCAAGCCGTACCTGTATTGCGTGCCTAAACTGAGCTTGTGGCCATAAGTGGAAATTAGTGGGAGAACATTTTAAAACAAATTTCAGGAAGCACTTCTTTACACAGCGTGTAGTTAGAGTATGGAATAATCTTCCTGCTAGTGTAGCAGAAGCTAAAACCCTGGGTTCCTTTAAATCAGAGCTAGATAAGATTTTAACAACTATTAGTTAAGTTCTCCCCAAATGAGCTTGATGGGCCGAATGGCCCCCTCTTGTTTGTAAATTTCTTATGTTCTTATGGTTGCCTCACCACCATCTGATTGATCTAAATGCATGGATATGGCGGTGTTCTGCATCAATTTACATGGATTATCTGAAGGAAAAAAAGGGATATTCTATATATTATTCATTATTTGTAGCATTGCACATCAAAATGTATTGATGCATTCTTGATAACTGAGAACTTTCCAACCACCTAATTAAAATAGCATTATAGAATAGCAAAATGAAATGGACTCGGAATGCAAATTTATGCAACCAAATGCTAATTCCGCAAGCATTTGATGTTAACCTAATATGGCGATTCTCACAGACTTGCTAGCTGAAATTGGCATGTAGTAAATCATGATGTACCTTGTATGAACAGTAAATAAGCGCCTCTTCAGTTTTACATCACTGTCAATCTCCAAACCCAGCAATGAATTTACCGAGCTGATTCTTGTGCAGTGGAAAACCGAAAGGACCTGGAACCATGGCGCAGTTAGTCTCTCTTTATGGTACGGCTTGGTTCCTGTATGGAAAAGCTCCATATGTGCCAGGGCTCCAGACTGAGCAAAATGGTCGCATATGCAACCATTTCATGAGAGTTAGCAAGTTAAAATTTCATGTTGATGCATCTGTGTAAGTGTATGAAAATCATTAGGATGTTTTGCTCCAGCACAGGTACTGTGTTAACGAATTGTGGTTGAAAGTTTTTTCTCTTCTTCACTGGCTCAGTATTTTATTTTCCTCTCTTTTTTACTGAGTTAGTCTCTCCCTACTTGCACACAGGAGTATGTACGTATATGCACACTGATGATAAAACGTGCAAAACAATCCCTTCTGCTATGGTGTTAATGTAATCCAAAAAACAGTCTATAGTTGATCATTTAAAAAAAACAATTTGAGAAAAAAGAGGAGGAGATTGTTGGAGAGGGAGAGCCAGAGAAAAAGTACCATTTTCAATTACAACGACTAGTGCCTCTTTGAGCTGAATTGTTGGGGCTGAATGAATGCTGTTGTAAAATTATTAAGTTAATATTGAGATTAAAATATTTTGTAAATATCAAGTCTTGAGTCACTGTCAATCTTTCATCAATGCAAAAACTACGATATGCAAATTAGTACAACTATTCATCAGCATACAAGGTCATTGACTCATACCATGCTGCACCAAAAAAAGGGTGCGACCAAATCATGTGCTGGTGTGACCAACTGAGAAAACTGGTAGCACCAGTTTTACCACTGGAAAAGTCAGTCTGGAGCTCTTTGTGTGTATGTCTCAACAGAGAACAAGATGGGATATGTGAAAATAAGCATTCCAATGTACCTAGACTTCTGTAAATGGCAAATAAAGCATCATTGCATTTTTCAAAATCAGTAATGCCCACTCAAACTGTACAACACAGTATAGCTTTAAAAGATTTCATTTAATGTTCAGGATTAATGATACTTGATCTTATTTCATTATATTACTGTGAGCCATGAAAGAGTGAATTATCAAGTTAATGAAGCCTAATTAAGTCAAATCAGAATACTAAAGGTACTATCGTGCCACCAAAACATGGCACTGTACAGACAGCATTTCACGAATGTGAATGTTGAATCTTTCTGTAATCAGGGGACAGCTTTCCCTAGTTCTGCTCTAACGGATTTCCAGTGGTGGGTCACAACCATAACCTGCACAAAACTGGCAGGTAACGAGGAGGAGTACGGCACCCAAACTCCCAGGAATCTACTTCAATCAATATTTTCAATTTTGACACATCATACACACTGCAGGTGTGTATTCAAACACAAAACACGTTCATACGGACAGAAGACGTAATGCCTGCCAGCGACCTGTGAGTGGCTGATGTTACAACATGACCACCTGCAGAGGGCATTCTATAATGACACATAGGGGAACCTCCTCTACTGCTCTGGACGCCGTGTCTCTTGGCATCTCCCTCAGACAACATTGTGTCCTGCCAACTACTGCAAGTCCCTTGTGAGTTTATGGGTTTCTTGATCTCTGTTTACTACAGCAGGGCCACCTCCTGTCCTCCAGATAGGTTCTTCCACAGCAAGGTGAATGTGGTGAAAAGCAAAGCCTGAGCAGCTCTGTAACAAGAACTGGTGTTCTGTCCAGCCACTCTGCCCATGCTCTTTTCACCAAGGGGAAGCTGCAACTGGGTCACATGATACAGCCCAGGATCATATGACAACTCCCTCATCCTCGTAGTGTCAACTGATGTACTGTTGATTCCATGTAGACCTACAATGCAGGCTCATGGGAGAAGGAAAGTGGTTTACAAATGATATCATATGAGCACTAAAGCATGATGTATAACATTCTGTTCTGCCCTATTCACAGGTTGGCCCTCAAGCAACAAGGTTGTGGGGTTCCGGACAATTCTTTTTAAAATGCCATCCAGCCCAGCTTCCACAGCTGAAGTTGCTTCCGTCAAATGCATAGCAAGTGACTTAACATCTAATCTTTGGTCTTTCTACATAAACATGCTAGTATTGAATATAAAAGCCTTAGTACTTAGTATACAGCAGGCAAGGCAGTGCAGTATGTGATTTCACTGCAAGATACAAGCAAAAGAGAGAAGTATATGTCCCCATGGAGAAAAATGTATCCATGTGATGTAAGAATTAAACAGAATTAGATCCTTAGACGGGGCAGGAAGGGGCTGAACATCACAAAAAAAGCAAACAGTATAAAGCCATTTTGGTGGATGAGAAAAGAAAAATGAAAAGCATTACCTCAGATTAGAATACTAACCAAAACAAACCATAATGCACCAATTTATAATCTTTGCTGGAACATGGGACAAATGGAACTAAAAAAAAACACACGACTCGATGAGTCCTGTGATGGTCAAACCAAAGCTTGTGCACTGCATCTAAAAATATGAAAACTACATGAGAAACCATATTATTACAAAATTAGACTGGCAGTAACCTACACTTCTTCTAATGGTTTTTAAAATGAGTCTGAAACAGACTGCAGATACAGCAGGAGAGTTTATTACAGGATATGTAAACTTAAAAGATAATGAGGATGTATTTTCATCTTTGCCGTCTTTCAGAGTAGGCGGAGCCTCTGTAGTAGTGATGCTTCGGCATGAGCACCAGCCCCCTCGCCGTGTCTCTCTGGACCCTGGCGAAGCCGGTCACTGTGTGAAAGGCTCCACTAGTGACAGGTCGTCTTCAGCTGCTCTGCTCTCCCATGAGCTGCGCATGATGATCACAGGACCATGGGCGGCCACTGGGCCTAGTGTTCTAATGTTTTCTTTATCTCTCAGTACCTAGTACCTGCACAGGCGCCTGGTGACACAAGCAGGCCTCCAACTTCATTTACAGGATGGTGACTCATCCTTTACTTTTCTGCAGATACATTTATCCAAAAATAAATTATCTTCAAAGGCTTTCAACTTTACGCCTAGTTTACCAAACCAACAAAGCAGTATACTCTGCTACAGCAATCCCCAATGATAAAGTATATCACAGCAGGGACTCTGACTTTAGCTGCAGATCAGGTTTGCTACCCTCCAGAGCATCTGCTGTCACACTCTCCTGTTTTTATAGACTGCCCTGCTTCACCTGACACCAGAAGCATCGTTGCTACAATCCAACTCACATGACCACAGAGCACATTAATTTGGAGTTGAGCTCTTCCGACAGCATGACTAACTGCTCTTTATGGCTAGGTGATGATACTCATTTCATACTACTTGGTGTGAGCCATTAAAGAAGCCAAATATGGAGGCCCTCCTATTTGGTAAGTGAGAAGCAGTGCTGAGTTCTGATTTGCCTCAGTTTAATTCGTAAGCTGAAGTATCACGGGAGCACTTCTCCCATGTTCCTCTGCATTGTCCTGCTCAATGGAGACAGAACTCAGGTGCCTAGGTGGGGGGGGGGGGGGGGGGGGGGAGAAGCTCCCGCTCCATGGAGGACATTGATTACATCACAGTGGTCTCATATCATAGAGGCCTTGTTAGTCTCAGCTTCCAGATCTGGTGTAGGTGGACAGGTGAGACCAAGGCATTTCGCTCTACCATGGTGACCCCATTCAAGGAATAATTGGTTAACAGGTCACTGACATTGTCTTCTAGGTAGAAATCTGGCATTCATGAAAATGCATCAGGAATATTGCAAACCCTAAGCTCACATCTTAATGACTTCACTCAAGGAATCATCTGGCTAGCATGCCCATTGACATTGTGTTCCAGCTGGAAAGTGCTACTACAGCTCTGAAGTCAGCTACTACATAAACACAAACCCCTCTCCTCCAAGTACACTGACTGTCTCAGTCACAGAAAGGCTCAGAGCATCTCGCCGAGTGCAGTTCAGGTAAGATACAGTAAAATGTACTTTATTGATCCAGGGGGAATTCTTTTGCATACAGCAGCGAGGTATATAAAGTGCACATAGTGCAAAAACAAAGTGCAAAGACAGTAGGTACTGGCCACTGTGCTCAGACACTGCGGGATGAACACAGCCCTGAGGCTGATATAGTACGTTCCATAGCCGTTTCATTAATTCCTCTTCTTTAAAGTTATCGTGACTCATGGTACACACTCATTCCTGGCACAAAGTTCATGCTTTAGTTCTGCAGTATCTTTTGCTTGGACATTCTACTTGGGCCATCTATGAAATTAATCATGTTAGCTCTGTAACCCAGGTACAAACCCATATTTAATTTAAAATGATAAAAATCATGTGTCAACCTCCTCAAAACAGTTTTTTGGTCATCACGTTTGCAAGCTAAAACATTTGCAGTCCTGTGCCATTTCACCATCTTAGTTCAGACGGTCACGTTAGATGGCATCTCACTGTGGGACACATTAAAGGAAGTTGCGCAAACACAGAGGACTTTTCAGCACCCGAGTCTGACTCACTGTGAGCTAATCTGCAAGATTGACTCATGCTTCAATATTGAGAATATTCTGAATGTGCCAAATACATATCATATATAATATATATATACACAGGCACACACACACGAAACGGCTCTCCTTGGGCACCAAGCATTATGTAGCATATGCTATAACACCTCAATTCCAGCAGGTGACCCATTAACACATCACACAAACATGCTGAGCTGCAGTGAACAGGCTACCGTAAAAATATGAGTATCAGGAACAGTGGTGAGCATCATGCATTATGTTCAGTGGTGACCCGAGTGCCTAGTGATGACATGCAGCACTTGATGGCTCTGGAATGTTCCGAGTGTGAGCTCCCCTGGCCACTGACCATTCACTACTTAAATTTCTATCTATGTGTGTCACCAGGAGCAGCTGGAGCATATCACCCTTATCACAATGGGCCAGTGTCCCTATCAGGGTACAGTGGGGCCCAGTAGCCCCCCCCCCCCATTTATTTTTAGCAGATGCTTTTATCCAAAGTGACGTACACTTTTGAGAAGGCAGGATGTTAAGGATCTACTTCTAGGGTCCAGTGGTGACATCACTCTAGGATTTGAACCGGTGTCCTTCTGATAACAGGCCTAACCCAGGGAGGTGCACACTACCCACCAAATCCTGCTTGTAAAAGGGGGGGAGGCTGGAGTGGTGGTGATGGAGGAGCCAAAATGACAAGAACGGCTGGCAGGATGTGGAATTTGAACTTCAGAAGGCTTCGGACATGTCAGCATCCTAAAGATCATGGGACAGACACTGATTACAGGAAAGTGGAGATGTTAAGGGCAATAATACAGCGGCAATCACAGTGGCTAACCCAGAATCCTCAATCAACCGGACTCTCTCAGACTCATCTGAAGACAGAATTTGGGCAAAACCAAGCTTGCGCTCAGTAACACAGCTGACTATTAATAGAGGAGGAGCCAAGAGTATCTCAATGGTGTATCAGAGTGTATCAAGGGCCAATTCACTGTGTGTCAATGTGCTTCTCATGCTACAGAACTGAGGCACTATGGGGGAGGGGGGGGTGAGGAAGTTCAAGAGACTGATAGAAGGGAATATGGGTGAAATGTGTAATACAATGTGTGCCACAAACCGCAGACACCACACATACAGAAAAACATGCTGATTTATGGAGGCTATAGTGGCTCAGAATTCATATCCATTTCATGTCACAAATATGGCAGGTCAGAAATTAAAAGATATATATTTCTTCCTGGTTCTGCTCTTTATGGCTGGGTAATGATACTCATTTCGTAGTAGTTAAACATATAGTACTTGGTGTTTGCATTTATACCATTACAAATCACAACAGAGTATTATATTCTGCACGCAATCTTTGATAAAAGTGAGTGACTTTATTTGTCATATCAAAATATAAAACGTCAAAAAAAAAATACATCCTAAATGGTATGAACTAGCCCATGTCTTACGGATTAAGGGAACATGTGGAAGGGAGTGACACAAGCCACAAATTCTTAAACTGCCTCAAATGATGCTGTCCTCAGTCGCCTTATTATTGGCCAGATTGGACAAGGAAAGCCATAATTTTTACTACTACTAAAGATAAAAAAAAGATGCATAAAATGCCCTAAATATCAAAATATTAACAAAATCATAATACTTGAGATCCAATAAAGTATTTTAACTGCCTAAAAAAGAAATACAATATTAACTAAATATAATAAAATATATACATATTATGTAAATAAAATATTTTTTCTTTGAGGACTATGCAAACTTTATTAGTGCATTTGTTTTGGCTAATTTGTCATAGTGATTAAAAATGATGTTGCAGTAGCCCTGAGATGGTCTAGACCTCAGCAGAAATTACAGCCAGGTCTCCCATCCCCCAGACGGCCATCGTAACCAAGGAGCCTGCAGGTCATAAAATAGTCATGTTGTTTGGTGTCAGTGTTCCCGGGCTTTCAGAGTAAGCATCCCTCTGCAAAGTGGCCTTATAGATCTCCACACGCGCAGAGTACTGACCCTAATCCTGAACCTCTGGGAGCCGCACACTACAGGGCCGTAGCTGAGGAGCTGTGGGAGACACTGCCGCTGTATTAGACTCCGCGTCTCTCCGCCAGCTCAGGATTCCTATGCTCTTCATTTTCTGTGTATTCCACTGGTGGTCGGTCATTACATACAGAGGCAATAAATGATTTTATTCAATTAACTGCTCAGCATCATAAAACGTACAGGCTAAAATGACAGAAAGGAAAATGCAATATATTGATCTATGTTTCACCGCAAGTGTAAATTATTAATGAGTTCACATAAATTTGGATAAACAGTTGTCTAAAAATGGAAGTGGGTTCCATCGGCCAGTTGCGCGGTTTTTGAGAGACGCCAAACCTGCCCAATGACAGCAGTACGGTGCTTGATGTCAGCATGCACACGCTCCTTTCTGACACGAGAGGCTCTCTGCGAGACAGTGTGTCACACTGCAGCAAACACGCTAACGTCACAGGAGGCTTCCAGCACACGCTTCCATGGGAAATCATTCGGTGCGAGAGCTAGCTGGGCTAATTAGCGCTGCGCTAAGCCCTGCTGCACACTCCCCCTTCCAGCTCACCGCCCAGGCCTTTTCTATTATTGCTTTTGTAAGCAGCTTTTTTTGTCCTGCACTGGTTTCCTCTTGTCGTTGCCCGTCACTGAGAAACGGAACCACAGAGACTGCGGGGATCTGGTCTCTGTGCGTATGTGAGCCAGGCAGACAGCTTGAAGGATGGCCAGCCCGGCCTGTTAGGTGCTGCTGCCCCTGCGGGTGACTCGTCACAATCATTTGCTGCCGCCGCGATGGCTGCTTAGGCGCATAGCTCGGCAGGGGAGGGGAGAGACAAAGGGGGGATGCTGCCCCTTTAAATGGGACACGAACGCAGTGGACTTTTACAAAAGGCTACATAATGACACATTATGCGATGGCAGCCTTAAAGGGGCGGCGATTCGTCCGGCCGTTCTCGGACAGCATGCTATTCAGTGAAGCAAAGAATGAGATGCAAACCGGCGTGCAGGTAGGCAGGCTGTACAGAGAAATGGAACAAACACCCCTTCCTGCCCGCATTTGTTTCCCAGCCCCAAAGATGCATGGCTCAGTAACGCCGAGGAGCCGACCTGAGATGCACGCACAGATGTCGCCACGGCGACAGGACCCGGTAGCGGCAGCAGCCCCTTTGTGGCCGACGGCAGTGCACACGCGAGCCCCGGCGTCCCCAGGTGAGCCCCGCCACCCTCCCCACTCACTCACCGCCTCCGAGTCTTCAAATCCATGCAGGTACAAGTTGTCGTACATGGAGGGCCAATATTCCAAACAGCACAAAAAAACAAGGGTGATGAGCAACGGAAATAGCTGGACTGGGGCACTGCAATGACCCCCCTTCAGCAGAAATCAGCAAGGAAAAGGCCTGGTGCGGCGTCCCTGGGCCTGCGCGGAGAGATGTGCCGTGCTTTCTCCTCAGCGAGCTGCTGCTGTTCATTCACATCACAGGGCAGCAGCTTTATCCCTGGAGGCTGTACTGACCAGGCATCCTATCTGCCTTCCAAACACAGAGCAAGAGAGCGAATCCTTCCTCAATCAGAGCTCGATGACAAAGCAGGCAGCAGGGCTTCTGATTGGCTGGCCGCTGCTCCAGTCAGCTTTGGAGAGCGCTCTCCTCGACTGTGAATAAGGAAGGGGGGGTCTGCATCGGGAAAGCAACGCCCCCACCCCCTCTTTGCCTCCCTTCACGTCTCTCCTCTCCCTTTCCCTCCTCCTTGCACCCTCTTTCTCTGCTATTAGGATCCTAGAGAGCGCGATTACGCGGAGGGACTGATTACAATGGCATGTGAGGGGTGATCATGCTGACCCTGAGCTCTGGCTCTCACGGTGTTGCCCTGCCCCCCTTCCCCTTGCCCCTCTGCTACTCACAACACACGACGGAGTGACGGAAAATAAAATGGGAGCTGGATGCAAGGCACTGGAGCATGCCAGCTGGCCACATCACTGCAGCTTCCTGAACACTGGGTGCAAAAGGGTGAAACTCCTGCTTCATTACACTCCAGTTCTTACCAATGAAACACAGAGAAGCAGACACTAAGGCAACCCTATTCCCAGAATGATGTCCAGATCCATTGTAATGCTTTACAGAGGAGCACCTTGGAAATGGACGGCCAATGTGTGAATCACTCTATTTTATTCACAGGTCTGAAGGCAGACCTGTCTCCTTATTTAACACACACACATACGCAGACATTTAATACATAAGCACACATTCCAAAGCACAATTATGTCAGCAAACACAGAACAGAATCATAATTGTTGTCAGGAAACAAACATGTATTAATATTTAATTTGTGTAACTGTAAAAACAGGACATGCCATGCAGCCATATAAACACAGTAAAGCAGGAAATGTGCATCTAATAACAACGATGCCTCATCACGACTTATCTTAAAGCCAAGGATGACAAAATGAGCTTTTTCTGTCACACTGCCTGCACTGTTTATATAGACAAATGCACAGGCAACCATATTATGTGACATTCTGACTAAATAAACTGCTGCTTACCCTTCAGATTTTCTTCTGATATTCTTTCTCATACATAAGCACTTATTTCTCCAGCACAGGAAAATATCAACCACAGAGCAACACTGTGCTTCCATGATCACAGGAATTCTGCATTTTTTAAATGATGAGATACTTGATGGTTATCACTTGTTAATCATCTCAATGAAATTAATTATGATCTTATTTTAGGATCATGGTTCATTCCGGCTTCCATACCACTTATGAAGTGCAGGGTTGCAACGCTTCCTTGAAATGACAACCATATAGAAACACAAGGCCCTCTAGGCACCAAGCTGAGAACTACAACTGCCAGCTGAAACCGTGCTTTGACTAACTGGGTGGTATTATTCTGTGATGCACAGATATAGAAAAATGTATTTTAAATAGCCAACTTGCAGGTTCTGTTATCCACACAGCCCCCTTCAGGACCCAAAGACCTCCCCCAGCATGATCCTTTACAGACCTCAGTTAGCATTCCCATGGGAGTCTATTTAGCTGGGGGAGGGGTGGGGCTCCTCATTCCATGTAAGGCACAGACCAGCTGACTTTACTTACCATCACTGACGAGGCTTTGCATGTAGATGCTTAATCTCAGCCAAAAAATTATGTGACTCCATCATAACCTCCACGTACAGCATAACAAATTTCTGTACAAAACAGTGTGACAGATTTTATACTTGTGTGTTTTTCCCTTAATAGACAGTAGAGGGCAACAAAGAGCAGTACAACGCCCCAGAAGTCCAGAATTGCGACACTGTGAAACACACACTACCTACAACCAGCATCAGTAAGGTGTGTGCCCCTGCAGGTTAGGACTGGTTTCGTACCTGTAACAGGAAGGTCACTGGTTTCACTAATATGGTTGTTAGAGTGATCAAATAACTTTTTCATTTATGAGACAAATGAAATAAAATACATTTCTGTAGGATTACCGGACACCCAATTCATAGATAAATACATCAGCATGTCCAAAGTTTAATAACTTGGTCATGCTATAGATATTGTATTTCAGATAGCTGATCTCATTACTGGAACAATCCAAATTTAGTGCTGGAAACTCTACTCTGGGTCACAGCTTTTCAATCAACAAAACTGATCAGTCCAATAAACTGTCCAGTGTTGGCCTCAAGACTCAAGACTGCCAGACCACTCAGACCACTGTGGGTTAAGGTCTGCTCTTTGGGCAGACCCTAGGGGCTGGTCACACTCATTATATAGTGCTGACAGTGATAATTGTAAGCTGTGATCAGAGGGAGACGTTTTATAGCATGAATTGGCTTTATTCCTCTATGGAAGGATAGCGAAATTCTTTTTTGTACAGCAGGTGACTGCATCAAGGCACTAACAAATCAGCTATTGGTTGGTTATTTCACATAAACCCTCATTTAAGACAATAACTTTCCTACATGGTGCCAACAAATGCACTGATGTCATGCAGAGCCCCGCCTCCATCTGGGAGGAGCCAGCCAGAGAGTGTCAAAAGGGTTTCATGGGAAGATTTACCACTGATCTGTAAAATCATAATACCTGTGTCAGCGGAGCTATAAAAATCACCCCTTCACAGACCATCCACACATTAGTGAGGGGCAAAAAATTATAATGAAATGAAATTCAAATAAATGGAGCAAATTAAATGGCACGTGAGTGAAAATAGCCTTTGCCTTTTACACTCATGAGTTTGAACAGGTGTTCATTTCAGAAATAAACAGGCCTGGAGGTAGTAAACATGAAGTCTTCCTGAAACACTGACTGAAGCATTACTGTCATGAACCAGCCATCAGTGAAGATTCCTCTCCTCAGTTTCTCCACATTACATATTTCTGGTCACTGTCAGATATCAAACACAAAAGAACTATGGGTGTAAATTGCTGGCCCCATTGCAATACAATTCAGTAACAATTACTGATGGAACAATTTGATGCATCAGAAATCTTGACTTTCTAATCTCAATTCGATTATTCAATTATTTTGATGGCCTGAATTCAAACCTTTTTAACTTCACTGAAAAAAATCACAAGTACTACCACAGGAACTTAATTACACACTATTAATGGAATACAGAAAAAGAACAAGCCAGTATAAAATTATTAAAAGGCCAACTACTGAACTGTACAGAAAAAAAAACAAACAGATTAAAGGCACTACCTGAGGTGGTGCTGGTGCAAATTAGCGAAATGTCGTCATCATTTTTATTGCGAGAAAAATGGAAGCTGATCTGTAGGCCATATCTAATGATGAATTATAAACATGTTGCAGACTGGTACTTTGAGGCCTCTTTTAAGTGGTGAATGAGCCGACAAAATCCCTCGTCTTCCTCTCCGGAAAATGGCTGATTGTGCAAAGTAATCGTATCCACTATCATGGTGCTTTAGTAGTTGTGTCTTTAGCTGTGGTGCTGCTAACTTTGAATACTGATGAAGTTAAAATATCGGCCAAGATTTAGCATCAGACCGATGGCAAAATCTGGATTCTTAAGCAATATCATTCGATACCAATATGTTAACCAATATATCATGCATCTCTATGGCTAAAATGACTTTTTACTTAGAGTCTTGTACCATATATAACAAAAAAATATTTTTGAACTACAAAAGAGGGGAGTTTCTAAAAAGCATTGTAGCACATAACTTCACCATTAGAGAAAGCGTTCTGCGCTGCAAAACAGGCCGCTACCCAAAAGCGTCATAGCTCTTCCATTATGAATATTAATAAACCTTCCCCTGTCATCCTGAAACCGCTGCTTTGTGCATTTGCCTTCAGCACATGAACATGAGAGCAAGGATAAGCAGGATTCTGCCCCCAAAAATTGATTTCACATACTGATCGATGCATTGAATCTTAATAATTAATAACTGATTCATCAAAATGCATCTTTACACCCCTAAAAAGAACTGTTACAAAACACTAACAAAAATGTCTTGTCTTTTCCTAGTTACACCTGCTATATGTAAGGCCCCATGGTGTTAGATGAGAGTGACACACACTACACAACCCATCATGTTACCTGTAATCAATTTTTCATAAAATTTTCCACACGTAGGATACAACACACTCTGTACCAGTGCTATGCTACTTCATCTCATGCCGATTGGTCACCAGCTAGACTAACTTGCATGCCAGACAAAAACATTCAAAGCTAAAGTGTCACCTCACCCTAGAAGCAGGCTACATATTATACATAATACATTTCTGTCATTTATCTCTTTACGTACTATAGAAGGTAGCACAGACTGTAAAGTATAAGGTCAAATATGTGAAGCTGGTCCCTCTTCTTTCAATATGTACTCCAACCTGGTCAATTAGGTATTTTAATACCATATAACCTTAAAACAGTCAACATGAGTGTGATGTAACGTGAACGGAATCACACAGTCCAAGGGAGACATTACATAACATTGCTGCTTCGTGCAAAGCAATCAAAATAGCACAAAATGTGTCTAAGTCAACAGCAGGAACTATTTCACAACTTTCCTGTCACAGTCCCAGTTGGTATCTAGCGCGCAAGCTGCGAGATGGAGCACTGTGACCTGTGGGGACGGCGCCATTTGTGCTCCACCACTGAACGTCTGGCGCTATTCAGGGCAGAAGCCTTCAGAGAGGCGGAGAGGCACAGTGGCAGATTGGGGGACCTTGCTGCTGCTTGTCACAACATGCAGGCACAGTAAGACCGAAGTGGACTTCCTGACATCAGCAGACACCTCAGCCGAATCTGGGCTTTTCCACGGCCTGCAATATCCTTTTGACACCGACCGCTGGACTGCTGCCTGCTTATTTTATGGTTTTCCCAGGGGAGATAAATTGTCAGATATAGTGATGTGCTTGCCTGTCTCTCAAAAATAATTCAAGCCAACATAATTTTTTATGGTAAAACTCAGACCAGACATAAGCATAAAATCTGTTGAACAGGTAGGGTGAAATGGCTAAGCTGTAATGGTGAAGTAGTATCAGCCTGCTGGGTATGACAAAGAACTCGAACAGCCACGTAAGACACCATGTTCACATTACATAAGTCAGATCATTATGTAAAAGCAAATCAAAGCACTATCACTAAATACAAGATATTTCAAGAGGAAGACCCTCTGATTTAACATGCCCTCAGTCATAGACTTGAGGTGGCACATATTGAAATCTGTAAAATTTTGAACACGATACTCATAATGAGAGTAATGCATACTTAAAACATGGCAGGGTATACTTAGTAAGACAATCAGCCTGGCTTATGCTGCTTTCTTTGTTTACATGTGCTGCTCTTTCTCACTTTATATGCACAACTTATGAGAACAAACACACAGTCCAATGCGTATGGTTATCCAGCAGGTGGCCAGGGACACCAGGGACGTCATCTTACTCAGCAACGGCAGTCGTGTCTTCATGCAGTTTTTTTCACCCTGACAGAAGGTCACCTGAATTTGTCTCACATGCAAGCACGCTTAAGGTGAACTCTGCTAGTGCTGGGTCTGCAGGCACCTGCAGTTCACCTGCCTGCTCGGAATTATGTAATAAAGGTTATTTCAGTGGAGGGCTGGCAAACACCCAGGTGGCTGGAAATCGAGGCCACTGACTCCCCACAACAGCTACGATCATTTTTCCAGTGTAAGCTCCTATATTTTTAGAGGAGGAACAGGGCGCACTCTCTGGACTTCTTGCCAATGCAGCCTTCTGCGTGATACGTTCATGAATAACTGTGCTGCCATGGCTGTGGATAAACCCTTGTGAGGTGAACAGAACCCAACATATGCTGGTGCATGGTGCTGAGCTGCCCTGACGAAGAGCACCCACCCAGATGGATGGCCACTTCCATGAAGAAGGGGGACAACCACTCCGCAGATAAATCAACGGAGAGCTCAGTCTGATAGGAGCAATGTATGTGGGCTCCAAGGAACCCCCCCCACCTGACCCCACCCCCACCTTACCTGTCTGAGGATGAAGCTGGTGGAGGTGGTGCTGCCGTCCGACCGCTTGAGTCGGCTGCGCCGCGAGTAGGTCCCTCTGTTCACCTGCACGGGAAAGCAGCTGCCACGTCACTGGTCCAAGCAGGCGAAGGCCACCTGAGACACAGCCCTCCGCACCGGCGACCGTGCTCATGTGACAACTTACAAGAGGCGTCCATTTTCGAGCCTGCGGCAGGCCTATGCAACTACTGCACAAAAGCCTTTGAGTGGATACTGAGGGGCATCCTACGTAAGGACAGCTGCAAAAATTGATGGAAGTGGAAAACAGTTTGTCATACGCATATGACTGGCATTAAAGCTCAGATACTTCCAAAAGGATATCAGCCTTATTAGACTGACCTAATTATGATCCGATTTTTTGCTCCATTTTTAGATGAACTATATCTAGTACTATATCAAGTAATTGTGTCAGTTAAGCATTAAAATTCTCTTTTTAACTGGATTTTTTCAAACGGGGTCACATTATCTAGGTCACCTCCTTTCTGTCAGTTTACACTCGTCAGATGATTTCCGGCAAGGTCAATCCACATAATTAATCGGATATAACATTTAAAAACAACAATTTTATAAGTAACCGGACCCGTATGGCATACATGGTCGGTAGCCGTGCTTCCTCTGTGCCTATCGGGAAACAGATAGGCTGTTACAGAATATAAAGATTTGTTTTCATATCATGATGGTATCACTATATAACGGAGAACAGGGACCGTCAACACTGTCAGCACGGAAATAACGAAGCGCTTACTTCAATTTAGTACCTTGTAAGACAGCTGTCAAAGTAACGAATCGTGGCGTTTCACTCACATTTCTTAATGTTGATGTATAAGAACGCCGTTTTGCGAGTCATACACTCACCCTCTAACTAACTGCTCTTACGGGCTGTCTCGGTACCGGACGGGACCCAGGCACACTCCAGCCCCTTTCCGTGTCCGCCGAGCCCTGCGTTACCTGGAAGATGGGCTTCTGGAGCCCCTCGCCGATTTTGTGCCGGGTGTAAATGTGCCGGGACATCTCCGCCAGCTCGTCGGTCCACGGCGGCGGCTGCCTCTCCGGGCCGCTCCACTGGAAGTGTTGCGGGTATTGGACCGCCGGCTCCAGCTTCTCTCTCGGCTCCGTGCTCACGCGCAGAAACGGTGTCTCCCGCGTACTCCGCCGGAGTCCAGCTACCTGAGCGGGGGCGCGCGTCGTCAACGGCGCGCACGGCGGCGGCGCGCCGCTCGAGGGGGCTGGAGGACGATGGGACGGCTGGCGCTTCGCCTCCGCGCGAGCTGGAAGCTCTTGGGAGCCCTTGAGATCCGAGGAGTTTTTAGAAACCTTCGTGAACGGCACGCTTTCCCAAAAAAAATGAAAGGAAATAAAAATATATACAGTGCAATCTGGACTATACTGAAGTAAGGAAATACCGGTGTATATCACCAAACAAAGTCATTAGCAAGGAAATGGTCAAGGGTTATGTATAATCCTGATGCATTACATCAGGACACGCATTACATTTCAACAGCGATACCAAAAACAACTCATAGAAGCAAACAAATCGCCAAAGAACATGAGGATGCATTCAGTTTAATGTAAAATATTTCATTAATTGATTTTAATCGAGTATAACAGAATTTAAAAGCAGTATTCACTCTGCATTGGTATATCGGCGTGGGTGCATAAGATCCCTCAGGTACTAAATATTACAATAAACGAAATTAATCTGAGATAATACTTCTCTTCGCAAACTTTGACTGGATTAACTATATAGATATAAGATAAAGGCAAAGGACTAACTGCTAATAAAAAATGAAATATGTTACTGGTGCTTATCCTAGGCAAAGGTGTTGCTGCTGTCACACAAACCAATAACCTTGGTTAAACATTAGTCTTGACCTTATAGTAGCTAACAACTGTCTCAACTGTAAAGCAGAATACAGTGAATAATGTCTATCTTCACTGCTAAGGTTAACATCACTGGTCAAGAAGAGAGAATTAGCATACAAACTAGTAAAGAAAAGATCCCATGCATTTATACTGTAGAGTTAATACAATAGCAGTAGGACACAAAAAAAACTCACAAACCACTTGTGTTAAGTGGATAATAGGCAAACTATAGCCCGGCACTGAAGACAACAGAGGCTTCCCAGAATTTAGGGGCCTGAGTCACAAGCATGACTGTCAAAATTTGACAGAAGGAGATGATTTCATAGCTGACAAATGAAGGTATGAGCTGAAGAGGATGACAACTGAGGGAGGAGAACAGCAAGTCAAATGTATGACTGCATTGGTCTATGTAGGAGGAAACAAGCTTCAGGCACGTGAGAAAAGGTCCTTCATGAGTGAATGGATGCCCTTCTCCACCACACAGATTCACAGCGATGGACAACAAAACACACACTTACTGAAGGAGCTGCTGAACAGGGCTCAACCTGAAATTACTCACGTTTAATATTATACATCAAAAGCATAAAAGGGGTATTACAGGGTATAATTATACATATCAACCAACCATAGCTGAAACACAAAGTCATTTTAATTTTAAAGGCTGTTTAGTATTCTCTGGGTGTTACAAATTGAACAATATACAATGACAAGATAAGATACAGAGGACCCTAAAGATATAAAACATGAAGTACAAGAGAATATGACAATCGTGGACAAAGAGGTCCCAAAAACCCTTCTTTACACTCTAAACACACAGCAGCTTCTGGAATGAATTCTTTTATTTCAATTTTTAAAGAAAACAAGGCATCCAATGGCAAAGAAATGCTTATAAATTTAAGGTGCAATCCCTCTAATGCGAGATATTTTACATCTAATATACAACAGATTTTGTAAAGGTTACAGAAGGGTTACATTGATTTTTATCATGTATCATAACTGCTGCAGAAAAGCACAACTGAACTACTCTGCAGGATTTTCCCCCATTCTAAAATTTAAAGATAAAAAAAAGTTTCTACTAATTAGTTTGACTGTGTCTCTTTAGCACATAAATATATATATTTTTAACATTATTAACAGATCGGTAACATTTGATCAGCAATTAGTCAGTGTGGATTATACATGTATTCATCCTGCTTGTATAGAAAAACAAAAAGCAGACCAGAAAGATTTGATTTACATTTGGGAAACAGAGGTGACCCAGTAACAAATGTCCGCCCTAAAGAAAATATTACAATTAAAGTACAAACTGCAGTACAAGAGGAGTCATTTACAGTGAATTAAATTAAAGCCTGAAGACAGCTTCTCTCAGAGTGCAGAGACAACTAGGACTTGCATATCAGAGGCTGTTCTCTGTGGCATTCTGAGCCAGTGGGTGTGTACCGCTCAGGCCTCCAGCATTTGCCCCAAAAGCAGACCTGTCACATCACTTGGGGCAATTACACATGCAGGAAACATGTACCAAGGAGCTTTTGTGTGTCCCTGACGGCAAGCCCGTCACTGAGCAATGCTCCAGTGCAGCTCCAATGGGGGCTCTAACCCCAACCCTAAGCCCAAGGTGTCTGAAGACTTGGCACATTAACAAGGTAGGCATGGTTAACCTTTACAGAGCCAGCTGAACACGCGTGCAGTTTCCATTTACTGTGCACCCACTGCATTTTACCAGATAACCTCATTAACCTGGGAAAGGTAAAATGATTCATTCTTTCCATTATTTTAACTTCTAAAACTGTATTCTCGTTCACATGCTTATGTTCATTTGAAGGAAAAAAAAAAAAGATAGAAAATGTGTATTGCCTCCACAATGTAAACTCCTTCAAATGATGCAACCCTTTTGCAAACGTACGCCACCAATCCCACTGACTAAGGGGTAATATGGGTACATCATAAATTCTCATAGTGTCCAGAGGTTGAGACTTCAAAATGCAGCTATTTTTGCAGAAGTGGAGAAACAAGGGAGTCGCAATGTTGAAGGTGAAGATGTTCAGCTGTGTAGTGAGTTTACAGTCTCAGGGAGTCACAGGCTCTGACTAATGAACAGAATGAAATGAAAAGCTTGGTTCCAAAGCTCCAGCTTAGCGGGGATGTACAAAGAACGGGACACTTAATCAACATCTTCCTGTGAAATTAGCAGCTAACTAAATTTAAAGTTGAATGTACACAGCAAAACTGGAACATGTGCCCATGCTTTGCCAAAGCTACTAAACATGGCTGCTGTTCATCACCTTAACTAGGCCCATAGAAGGCAGCACCCTCCTGCCTGTGAGCACAAAAACTGAAATCAACACGACAATAAAGCAGTGGAGGAAAACAAAAATAAAGAAGAAAGATGTGCAGGTTAACTAACTGATGTTGCTTCGGATGGGTTTCTCTGGGGTACTGAAGTCTGACTTTACTGTACAGGCTTAGAGGAGAGGTTGCTGGTAGTAGGTAGTTTGCGGCTGTGGGGCGGCATGAGCTGGAGCTGCCATTTGATAAGCGCCTGGGGGCATACTGGGGTTAGTGTTCTGATAGGCTGACATGTCCATGGCCACACCCATCTGCTGCGGGTAAGAGGTGGGGCCACCCGGTGGCTGACCTATGTATGCTGGATTTACAGCACTGGAGAAATGCAGGCAAAATGTTAGGAAACAAATAGCTACATTTGACTTGAGCTAAATAAAGTAGTTCAGTATATTCATATTCAATTTTTACATCTAAATTCAGACATTAGAAAATAACCAGAGGTGGTTTCAGGTCCAGAGAGTACAAATCCAGACCAGGATTTTGTTTCAACCGACCAGTTAAGTACTCTGTAACTGTGACTCTTTATACTCAACTGGTTGGTTGAAACAAAATCCTGGTCTGGATTTGTACTCTCTGGACCAGAAATCATCAACTCAGGAAATAATCAATATTATGAAACAGATAAGTAAACAGCGCTAGGCGAGAGAGGGCGACAGTACCCAGTGTAGGGCGGCTGCTGGGGCTGGCTGCTGCCGGACGTGCCGGTGGGTGGGGGGAGGGAGTGCAGGGACGCGGGCTGCTCGGGGCCCAGATTATAGGCCGGACCGGGGGGGCCCTGCGCTATTCCTGATGGCATGTATGCACCACCCTGAGGCTGGCCTGGGTAACCCTGGGAAAACATGACACTCACATTATAATAGCAGCGCTGATTATTTCCGCTACAGAGTCATAAATGTGCTCACTTATCCATATCTGTGACTTAACACTGCAGATATGAGCATCAGTCATGGGCAAAGTGTTTACGGAGAATAGCATGCTTTTATTACGACAGTCATTAACTGGATCCCTCCATATTTCTCCCATGCAAGATTTGGAAGAGGGTGTGAGGAAGAGGTGGCGCCCTCTGCAGGCCGTTCTGACCGGCAGGGTGACGCCCGGAGCGGGGGCCACGTAGTGAGGCTGGGGCTGCATCTTGGAGTAGGTGGAATAGATGGGCGCCTCGTTCATCAGTTTGTTGTACATCTCCAGGGCCTCCAGGACCTTCACGTTCAGCTCCGAGAGCTCAGAGTGCTTCCTGGACATCAGAGAACATCACACCAAGCTTTATCCTAACGGTGGCTACACCAATGTGTGTCGCGTCCTTAAAATGATGTTGCCACCTTGTTCTTTCTATGTTACGCCACAACTCCAGAGGCCGCAGGCTGTTTTTGATGCAGCGTACCCACATACAGAGCGCAGATAAAGGTATTGTGATGAGTGTGTGAGTCTTTTTAATAAAGATGACAGCTGTTTTGACATAGAAGGTGCTGTCTTTATCAATAGCCAGTATTGGTTTAATATTAGCAGCACTACAGACAAGGAAACCAACAAACACAACACATTGCGGATACATACTAACAAAAGGCACGCATTACATGGCAAACATTACATGCTTATGACATTTACTATTAGCATAAATATACATATTAATTTACACAATTTAAAGATACATGCAGTGCGGTGCAAAGCATGCTGGTAACTGCATAATTAGTCCTGCTGACCAACCCAACAGCATTACACTGTGTCAACCAATTGTGGACAGTGGGTGGGATCAGAACAAGCAAACAAAATCCCTGCATGGGTGATGCACTGAAACAGTGATGACTGCTAATAAGATGTACAGCTTCGTGATTCGCGAATTAATTTTTTATTAAATATTATTAATGTGTTTATGTATTTTTGTTTTCTCTCTCTTTTTTGTGATTAGCGCACACATAGTATTTTTGCAACTTATTATTTCTGTATGTCTTTACATAATTTTTAATCGATTGAAAACCTGTACATCCAGTACAAGTTTCCTTTACGTATTTTATTAGTTGTACCTTGGTTACGTATATGACTTCTGTCAATAAGTTTACAGTCCCGTTCGTTTACTCATTTTACCTTACTGTGAATGCAAAAGAAAACGGCAGCCAATGCCGTGTTCTAAGAATTAGTAGGGGTAACATTAGTATACTGTACTGTAAATGTGCTAGTCTGACAAATATCCATTAGGTGATACTGTACTCTATTTTTACATCAAACATTTGTTTTTTTTGTTTTTTTAAAGGTAATGTATTAAGCTTTTAATGTATTTAACTTTTAAATTAAATTAAAGTGTTTTGGGAGCATGACTGGGGTCATATTTAGGGTTTAAACTATAAAAATAAGCACAAATGACCATTTTCAGTGACCCTACCAAACATCTGCGAATCCTCCTCATTCGTGACGGGTTCTGGAACCTAACCTCCCGAATGTCCGAGGTCTGACTGTATTGCTAGAGCGACATTGAATCCATCAATTGTGTTTGAAGTATGCGGCCACCTTTAGGATGGATTACCCTTAATGACGTGTATAATGACAGTTTACACAGCATTATGAAAAGTCAGATTTTGAAGTCCCAGGGCCTAAGGGAATACATCAGGATTGCTTACCTGTCAATGTCTTCTAGCCTCTCATCGATTAATGGGTTCATCTTCTCACAGGCATCTAAGATGGAGGCAGGAGGACATCAGGCACACAAAGCCAGAAAAATCCCAGGAGGGAAAGACAGACTCAAGTGTTCCTCACCCTCGAGATGAAGCAGCTCTGGGCTGTCAGGCCCTCCATCTGCAGGGTCTTTGTTTTGCAGCAGGTAGAGTGTTCTGTCCATCTTCTCCTGCAGACACAGTGCACACCAACTTCGTAACTACCCCACAAGCCATCACTGATGCTCTTAAGAATTACACCGATGAGGAAACAAAATATATCAATGTACTCCAGTGTCGAGGTGAAGTAGCAGCCTGTTCTGCATTCAATCCAGATGTATAGTTATGAAAAGGTTACACACGAACCTCATCTATAACCACGACCTGAGGCTCCAGCTTGGTGTCCTGAATAGACTCTTCAGGAGGAGCTCCATGTTCCACAAAGACAGCTGGAGACAACATAACAGAAGGCTTCAAGTTTTCAGTCACCTCAATACATACAGGAGCGGGTCTGCACTCCACAAGAAAGACTGATCAATGATGAGACTGCAAGTGTGAGACTGTGCTGAGCCCACCTGGTTCAGGTTCTGCATTCAAGTTGGTGGTGACAAAGTTGGAGGGGAAAAGGCCAATACCTCTGTGGTTCTCCCCTTTCCACCAGTTGGGGTCGCTGTGGAATCACAAGGAGATATTGAAGAGCAGCTATCTTTACATTAGCCAAAAAAGTCAAAGTCTGAGGGCTGCATGTGGATTGGAAAGAGCCTGGAAAGAGCCAGTGACGTCAGTACCTGTCATCCAGGATGATGACCAGCTCCCCCGCCTTGAAAGTCAGCTCATTGTCCTCCGCCGCCTCAAAGTCATAGAGGGCTCGCACCTTACGGGCGTCCTGAGGGGTGCCGCTGTTGAAGGGGGGGTCCACGGGCACCGTCAGCGCCCGAGTGTCTGTGTGATGCTTCTGCTCCTGTAGCGACAGCTCAATGGCTGTGGGGGGGGGACACAGGGACGTTCGCCAATTAGGGCGGCTATGAGGTGTCATGCAGTTTACGGGTGGGTGTGGCCTTCTAGCTGACTACAGGAGCAAAGTCATTAACATTAATTGGCCCCCACCTGTATAAATTACTAAAGACTCTCTGCATCAACAATGGCAGACGCTTCAGATTTAATATCACCATCAGTCTCCATCCACAAATTTTACCTAGCTGAAGTGTAAACTACTAGAAAGAATAATAATGACAACAATGAACTAACATAAAGGAAACTGATGATGCCAAAAGGGGACATTTTTTACGAAGGGGTTCTCACCTTTAGCCAAGTCATCTTCGTCTGAAGGTTTGCCTGCTGCAGGGGTGCTAGATTTCACTGTGGAGGAACTCTGTCATCAACAGAGACAAGAGTCACAATTAAAGCAACACTCTGCTCATAAAGCTTACTGAGGCCCTCAAAAGATCGGTGCACAACATCAGTGGCGAGATGAACGTCATCGTTTCTCTAAGAAAAGCAGGTTGCCCCATAACATTTGTACACCAAGCTGCTTGCATTATCAACTTATAAAGTTTAACTAATTATGCTTAACGTCAACAAAGCAGTCTTATGAAAAAGGCCCACATTGCAAGTGTGCTCCAGCAGGATGCATTTCTGTGTCATACCACAAGGGGGCAGGCAAGAAGGCCCATTTACCTCACCTTCATGTGGAGATCCATCAGGTCACAAGGCCTCCAGGAAGCATCACAGGATTGTATTTCTTGTGAATTCGGTCAGATTACTGAATAAGGATTCTGCCACTACTAGAGCAGTACGAAGTAAAGTGTCCCTTTTGAAAGCTACCCAGTAGCTGAAGTTTGAGGAGGACACCACAGGGGAATGAGGCATTGGGGAGAGACTCTCTGGTCCACCAGGGAATGTGGGGATCCAGTTCACCTTCTGGCCGGTTTGACAACAGCCATCACACTCAAAGACTAACTGAAAGCCCACGGGACCACAGCCCTCAAGGAACCACAGCCCTCAAGGAACCACAGCCCTCAAGGAACCACAGCCCTCAAGGAACCACAGCCCTCAAGGAACCACAGCCCTCAAGGAACAGCATCGCTCAGTGGCACAATTATGCTAAAACCGATGAGCTGAAATTAGTGAAGAGCATATGTCAGGCAGTGAAGCGCTTGCAGCAGGGGGAGGGACGATGCACCAACCTGCGGGCCGGAGAACGGGAAGCTCACACCTTCCTCCTTCAAGGACTTGATGGTGGCACCAATGAGGCTAAGCTGGGGGTCCTTCTGGAATTCCTCAGCCCACTCTACCATGAGGGCCTTGAGTTTCTCACAAACTTTGGGGTGGGCCTGTTAACAAGGATGGGGGGGGGGGTCACTACTGCAAAGCCAAAGCGCTGTTACATTTAGGGAAACCACAGACCTGAAAAAATGACACTGCTGGAAACGGTACCTTGTTCAGAATACCTCTGACTTCAGTGGCAAAGTCCCGTGAGCATATTTCAAGGTGAAAGATCTTTCCGCTGTTGGATACACAAGCACCCAGCAACTGAAGGAAAAAAGAAACCAGAGGATTACAGATTCGAAAGCTCGTGATAAAGTGCCTGATACTGGATTTCACTCAGTATGAGCATGTTTCATTATATTCGTGAGTAAAAGTAAATCTCCAAACAGTCAGACATGTACCATGGTGGTGTAGGAGCATTAACATGATAAAAAGACTTGCTATTAAAATGAGATGCAAAACTTTGGCCGGTTCTGTGGCAGAGAAGGTTATTTCATATGAGCTGTAAAGATTTTAAAAATACGAAGCAGGCGTGAAACCTTGCAGCTGAAACCTGTGATGTCGATTGTGGGTGAGTGATATAAATGGGGGCAGCCATAAAAGTGACATGGTCTCAGGGAGCCCAACACTGAAGCTACCAGGCTGAGAATCACCATAGTGTGCAGATAACCCTTAACGGGGAGGGGGGTGGGGGGGCAGACGCTGCCAGCCTACTTCCCCAAGTCGAAACTCCACTATGTCCCACAAAAATACAGGTGGACGGTGCTGCTGCAGCAGGCAGAGTCTTCACAACATCAGATTCTCACCATTCTTTGCCACATTTATGCCCCTTCACATGATTTTTCCATTTCACAACCTCCACCAAGGCATGCCAATAATGTCAGCGGCCAGGACGTGGACGGAAGAAGCTAAAGTGTCAGAGTGGAGCATGACTCACGGTCAGCGCCTGCATGGCGACGTGAGGGACCTTGTGGTTGACTCTCCTCATGATGGCCCGCAGGCACTCTTTAGCTCTGTGGAGTAAGGAGACTTGTAAATGCACCTGTCAGACAGGCAGCAGAAGACACAGATAACAGATGCCGTTTTAGACTGACGAATAGAAGTTAGCTGGTTGTTTAAAACTATGAAGGGCATGAAGGACAAAAGAAAACAATTCATCTGACTTACAACAAACAATGTCAGTGCTACCGCTAGCAAGGCCTCGGGCTATGACCGATACCCGATAAAAGGTAGGAAGAAAGAGCGTACCCATTCGGAATCGTCCCCACACGGTCACATATATCCATGATGAGGCCCCAGTCATCTGCTGTGTTGTTTTCACTTGTTGCTTTCTCTGTAAATGCGAAAAAAGGACAAGCGATGTAGCACCTGCCACAACTGCATTGGTGCCTGGGGGAGGCAGCTACCAACAAAAACACTCAAAATTATAAAATGTCTCTACACAACTGGAGGAGCTACTATTTTATGACAAACTGCACCAGACTACTCTACCATTAAACACTACAAGTCACTCTCGCCATTTTCCTAATGAATTTTCTTCTGGAGTTCTCTCTACTTCCTACTCTCTACAGTTTTCTCTACTACAAAAAACATCATTCATAAAGTTCTTAAATAAACATGGAGCTTTATTTGCCATTTGCACAAGTAAGAGAAGAAATGTACTGTAATGCTCCTTCTGGCAAATCCCATCATCCAACATGTTCTCCATCGTTACTTGTGACACACACACCTCAGCCATTTATCCTGCATCCCTGGTACATTTCAGAGGAGTTAAGGGTCTTCCCCAAACTCCTGACTATTCTACCAAAGATGGGATTTGAATGTGAGATAATACTGAATTTTGTTCTCCTCTGCCAGAATACAACACGGGAAACCGTGAGACACGCAAGTGTATCCTCTGTCCCTACATAAATAACCAACTATTAACACGCTGAACTTAAAGATTTGCATGCGATATTTGCATTCGTCCATGGAATGTATTTCCTCTTTTTTTACAACAGGTACATAGTAAAGGTTCAATTAAGTTACCCTTCTATATACCCTTCTATACACCAAATATCTGCAAGTCGAGATGGCTATATGACCAACTTATTACCATGTTAATGGTTATTTATGTAGGGACAGAGGATACAAATATACAATGACTAGCCACTATATTATATAGACTTGCTCAACTACTCCTTGAAGCAAATACTTAATCAGCCAATCTTATGTCAGCAGCACAATGCAGAACATCATACAGATGCAGGTAGGAGCTTTAGTTAATGTTCACGTCAAATACCAGAATTGAGAATAAAGGTGATTTAGGTGAATCTGCATGGTTGTAGGCGCCAGATGAGCTAGTATGAGTATTCCAGAAACTGCTGATCTACTGGGATTTTCATGTAGAACCATTTCTAGGGTTTACAAAGAATGGGCTGAAAAAGCAAAAACATCCAGTGAGCAGTGGTTCTCTGTGCCTTGTTGATGGCAGAGGTCAGAAGAATGGCCAAATTGGTTCAGGCTGATAGAAAGACAACATTAACTCAAATAACCACTTGTTACGACCAAGGAATCCAAAACAGCATCTGTGAACAGACAGGACATTGAACCTTGAAGCAGATGGGCTACAGCAGCACACTGGGTGCCTCTATTGTCAGCTAAGAACAGGAGACTGAAGCTACAATGCACACGGACTCAGAAAACCTGGAAAAAGGGAAGATTGGAAAAACGTTTCCTGGTCAGATGCTTCTCCATTCCTGCTGTGACGTTCAGATGGTAAGGTCACTATTTGCTATAAACAACATGAAAGCATGGATCCATCCTGGCTTGTATCAACAATTCAGGCTGCTGGTGGTAGGGTAATGGTGTGGGAGATATTTTCTTGGCTCCTTAGTACCAAATGAGCATCATTAAAATGCCACAACCTACCTGAGTATTGCTGTTGATCATGTCCATCCCTTTATGACCAGAGTGTACCCCGCTTCTAATGGCTACTTCCAGCAGGATAACGTGCCATGTCACAAAGCTCATATAATCTCAGACTGGTTTCTTTAATACAGTGTTTCTCAACCCAGTCCTCAGCGAACCCCAGCCAGTCCACGTTTTTGCTCCCTCCCAGCGCACCTGTACCAGCTATTCGGTGTTCCTGATTGGCTGGGAGCTGGGAGGGAGCAAAAACGTGGACTGGCTGCGGTTCGCTGAGGACTGGGTTGAGAAACACTGCTTTAACATGACAATATGTTCACTTCACTGAAATGTGCTCCACAGTCATCGGATCTCAATCAAATAAAGCGCCTATGGGATGTGGTGGAATGGGAGACTGACATCATAAAGGTGCCGGCAACAAATATACAGCAGCTGCGTAATACTATCATGTCCACATGGATCAAAGTCTCCGAGGAATGTTTCAAGCACCTTGTTGAATCTATGCAACAAAGAATTAAGGCAGTTCTGAAGGCAAAAGAAGGACAAACTCGAAACTAGCAAGGCGTACCTAATGAAGCGGCCAGTGAGCGTATGAGCATATAATTGTAATTTTTATTTTCTTCAAACATATATACTCAGTGGCCACTTTATCAGGTACACCTATCGAGTATAGCTAGGACATAATTATACTGAGTGTTCAGAGATGCCTTTCTGCACACCAATGTTGTACGGAGCTGTTATTTTTTACACTTGTGGTCTTCGAGTTAGCTTTAAGGAGTCTGGCCATTCTCCTCTGACCTCTCTCATTATCAGTACTGTCAGAAGAAAAACACTTGATCTTTTGTTTGCTGCCCTTGAACTCTAGACACTGTAGTGCATGAAAATCCCAGGAGGATGGTCGTTTCTGAGATGCTGGAACCACCATGTCTGACACCAACATTCATACCACTTTCAAAATCACCTAGACGACATCATACCCATATGAATGAACTGGCTACTTAGTGTATACTTTGAAAGTCTACAGGTGACATAATATTTTTAAATGTTTTAAATGTTTGTGTGTTAACATCTTTAAAAAATATTATTTACATCCATTGATGCAGAATGAATCATCTTGAAATGTAGGTAATACACAAATCATTATCTGGTTCTTAGCATTGTAGTTGAAAAGTCCTTCAATATATGGTCCACTAGGCAATTACACAAAGGAATAATCTACAATAATAATTCTTACACAAGAATTATTTTTAAATGTTACCCAACAAAATGAGACAACATAACGGGGTCCTAAATTTATGCATTTATTTTAAAGTTTAAACTTTATTTATGTTCGTGATTAAAATGAGCATTATCAATTTCAAGTATAGACACCTGACACCTGTAACTATCATTTCAAATTGAAGTGTTTATGCGTTATTATTATGATGCTATTTAACTTCAATTTCCTGTATTATTGTATTATTCTGTTACGTCGTCCAATTTCTAGCTGATTACAGAAAATATAAGAATACAATTTTAAGCCATAAAAAATAAACTATATATATTTGAAAAAATGAAAAGGTCGGAAATCACTAATTCAAAAACATAGTCATACTAAACAGTTCGTGTGTTTAGCTATCTGGTTTATTCGAGTTAATTCTTTGACCTTAGTGGTATTAACGTAGTTAGCGTAGCGAGTTATACGCTTTGTAATTTCTGTCAAATATTGCACATTGGGTCACCTAACTAGTTATACGATTACTGCTCCACACATGGGTGGGTTAGTACAATGATGACAGAGCATAATCCTTTACAGATTACTACTATGCTAGCTATATGTTAACTATAACTGTACGAGCAGAGGTAAATATACAAAAATGACACTTGTTTATCTGCCTATTTCTTCGATTACAGATCGCAAGCTATACTGTCCTCCTGATTTTTAATGGAAGCGAGTGTAATCGTTACAGTGACGCTGGCTAAAGACCGTGAAAAACAAGGCAGCTAGCTATGGAAAAGGAAACCTTCCGAAGACGCTAGCTAACGTTAGCCACTTCCTATGAATATCTGGGTCAACACATAAACAGTGTTGTGCTGTCTGACTTACCCACATCTTGGTCAAACGGATTTGGGGCGAACAACGGCATATCGAAAGCCTTTATGAAGAAAACAGTGTCACGTCTAAAATAATCCAAAAAAAAATTCGGTATTTAAAAATATCCCTTCCTCATCCATCCAACTATGTCCAGTTTCACCAGTTGCTCTTCCGTAAATCTAGCATGCCAATAAAGTGCCTGAAATGCATTGTATTAGGCAAATATAATTTCAGTCACCTTGTTAATTGTGGAAGTATATAATGTGACTACCCTTTCCACAGACTAATTAATATTTTTTGAAAACGACGTTTATTTTATGCTAAAAGGCATAATTTCGGACACCTTTCGGGTCCTTTAAAACTCACTGCGGCCATGAGACTGCCATCTGCAGGAGGGGTGCTGAACTGCAGAATTGCAAGGTGTTAGAGGAAATGTCAGAATTGTACTTTACTAATTTTGCATTTGCTGTGAGCTGCGTGTTTCATACCTGTTGCTGTGAATTTAAGTTAAATATAATACTTTCGTTGCAATTTCAAAATCAGCGAAACACGCCTCGCATTTATCCTCATATGTGATCACTGTCACTTTGATTTGATATTATCGGGCATGGGTTAGTAAGTTCTTCTGCTTTATTGGACAGATAACTATTTAGCTTTACCGAATCACGGTTCGGGCTGTGGCACTTTAACCCTTTCCGCACAACGGCCACCGCACTCCGGCGCACCGCCAGCCAGCCAGCCAGCTTACGCCCTCTTCCGTTAGAGGTGTGGCCGCCGAGCTCTACAGATGTCGCTGTTCGCCCTCTCGGAGGCCGGCGGAGAGTCCGGGAGCGGAGCGACAGCCGGCGGCTTCAGTCATGGCAGCGCACTCCCTGGGAAGCAGCAAAACAGCGCACAACGACTTGAGCCAGCGGCGGAGGAAGGGGCCTGGGGCGCTGGCCACGGTCTACTTGGTCATTTATAATGTGGTTATGACCGCCGGGTATGTAAATGGACTTTATGGCGATGTGCAGGCGCGGTGGCACGGAGAGCGCGCGGACTGTCGCGAGCCGCCTCGCCCGTCGGCTGTCGTGCTTCTCCCGTGTCCATGCAGGCGTGTACATATATGTATATAAACATATGCATATGTGTGTATTTGTGCGTGTGAACGTCTCACTCCTGTTTTCCCCCTTCTAGCTGCTGCATGTTAGCTGTAGTGCAGGTTTAGATTAGTTTGTTGGCCCTGTGATACGGAGCGGCGTTACAGCCCGCACTCCTGCATAACCGACCGGTCCGTCAGGGATCCCCGGCAGGCTGAGGGGCAGCGTACGGCCGGGCGCGCAGTGCTCTTCACTCGGACACACGCAGGGAACCCGCTGCCCTTCATTACATCCGCTCGTCGCCGTAAAGACAGGTTTATATTCTGTAGCGGGCTTTTTCTTTGTTTATCTTCAGTTAGAGCTCGATCAGCTCGATCGCATGCTAGCTATAGGCTCTGGATTATGAGTACCTGCGCAGCTAGTTAGGCTCGGGTTTATGGTTAGTCGTAAGGCTCACACGGTACTAAGGGGAGACCCAAAATACGCTTCCCTGTTCACTACCTTTTAGTTTAACTTCAAATTTCAGTATATTTCGCAAACACAGGAGCAGGGGGAAGTTGGGCTTGTTTAGCTTTACTACCTGTTATGCGGGTCTGCATTTATGAAGTATAAATGCCTGTCTTAAACTGGGATTAAGATTGTTGTATACATAATGATTTCGTTTATTTTCACTCATGCAATTTCACGGTAGGTCATGCCGAAGTGTACTTAGAGTGATTCTTGGCTACAGTACAGAATATAATAAATGAGATTTCTAAATCTTTCTGCATAGAAAGGATTATAATGGATAAGGGAAATGCATTCTATATTTCTTACTGTATTGCTTTATTTGAATCAAATCTAGTATTCACACTTCCTGTGTTTAATACAAAAATTAAACATCACTGATTAAAATTCTACAGCCTTGTATTTGCAATGGTACTGAACCGTAATGAAGAAAGTGGTGTTTGTGAATAAGATCTGCAGGTGATTTTGATCCTGGATTCTCCATTTCAGGTGGCTTGTCATCGCAGTGGGCCTGGTGCGGGCATATTTGGCCAAAGGCAGCTACCATGGCCTATATTACTCCATAGAGAAGCCGCTGAAGTTCTTTCAAACTGGTGCAATCCTGGAGGTGAGTGTAAGGGGGCGCAAGTGAGATTTTTGACCTGGCAGAGTCAGAGATGGCATCTGGTATCTAGAGCTCTGACTGGCTTTGTGTGTGCACCATGTGTGTGTGTGCTCACGTGACCCAGCTGCTAATATGGGTGCTCTTGGACTCGTACCGACAGTGCTTCTGTGCAGTGTCTGCATGGTGTTTACTGATGAACATGCCATTCACTGTTTCCATCAGTTATTTCAACTGCCTTGGGAATTAACTACTCAGTTTTAAAGACAATGCTGTAAGGAAATGTAGCTAGTCAAGTATGTAGAGTTGTTTTGGCAGCTGGTGTTAACCTCTGGATTCAGTCTAAAAGTGTTTTTGCTGTTTATGTAGGCTGTTCACTTTTTTATGCTTAAGACTGTGTGTCGTTACACTTTAAAAATGTTCTAACATAAGCGTATTTGGCTCTTTATCCCCACCAGATATTACATTGCGGTGTAGGTAAGTTGTCCTTGCATTTTAACAAAAAAGCCACTCTTAGCCAGCTCTCTCTCTTTTTTTTTTTTTGTCGTTCAGGCTTAGGGTAGTAATACTGTTCTGACACTGTTTGCCCTGTCATGATAGGACTGATGTCTTCATCGTGTATGTTTCACAGTCCACACTTTCGTCATCAGTAGTTTGAAGCCAAGGCAGGGCAGGGACCCTCCATATCCTGCCAGCTCGCTGGAGGTCACTGCCGCCTGATGATCATGTCAGGTGTTATCAGCAAGCCCGGCAGATAGATACTGACAGGAGGAGTGACGGTTTGAAAGTGGATGATTTAACCCAAAGGGACCCAGAAAATGCGTAATGGGAGCTGAGCTGTACTGCTGCCCTTCTCCCAGCACTCGCGGGTCCCAGCACTGGAAACTGCTCTCCAGATGTAGTTCAGCTGACTTGAAAAAGCAACTCGCTGCTCCATTTTCCTCCCCTCATTATTTTTATTATACTACAATGATTTTATCTCTTTCAGTAGTAATAATGTCACACTTAAGTGTAGCAGCTTGCAAGTTGTAAAATTTAACTTTAAAGAGCAGGAACTGGAGTAAATGCAAATCTCTATAACCATTAACCCAGTTAGGCTCTTTTTATTCTGTTCTCTGTGAACCGAGTTTGAGTCAACATAACTACAACTTGAAGGAAGCCAGAGACCAAGATTTATTGAAAAAATAAGTGTGTTCCATCACCTCATAGTGCCACCTGCTCGTGACCTCGGCTTTCATAGATGGCACAGTCCTGATATTATTATTATTATTATTATTATTATTATTATAATGACACGAGGGTTGATTAGGTGCAATTAAATACAGCTGTTGAAAAAATTGAGACCACAGCAAAATTTTCAGTTTCACTCATTTCTCAGTTTATGACTGTGCACCTGTATAAAATATACATTTTTTTGTAAACTCCAGCCTGGCTCACTTCAGCTTCTTATTGATGAAGGGCTGCTTCTTTGCTTTATGGATCTTCAGTCCTGCTTCTAGGAGCCTGTTATGAAATGTCCTAGCAGTGCACTTCACACCACTTAATGTATCCCATTCTTTTTGAAGGTCACTTGAGGTCATCCCCCGATTTATGAGGCATTGCTGGATAAATTGATGGTCATCTCTGACATTAGAAAGTCGCTTCTGCTCTCTGCCAGGCTGGTTTTTGGTTATCGCCAGTGTCTCCTGCTTCACCTTGTTCTCGTGTACTGCTGTCATAGAAACTTTGAACCTGAAAGCAGCCTGCTATGCAGTGTAGACTTCTGCCAGCAGAACCAGGACTAAACCCGGATTTAAAAATGCAGATTTTTTAAAAGTATAGAGTGGTCTCTTAATTTTTCACTGAGCCGTATAACAGAATAAGGCATTCTTGTAATAGCCAGTACATTCTTGTTCATATTTATTTATTGAATTAATTGCCATGTTGTCAGTCTAATAAAAGTGAGAAATGAACATCAATGCCTGTCAGCATTTCCCCCGCTATCTAATGAGTACCTGACCCTGTCCTACTTGCTGTTTCCTTCTCCCATCCGTACTTCCTCTGCATACAGGAATCGTTCCCTCCTCCGTGGTCCTGACGGGCTTCCAGGTGATGTCTAGAGTGTTCCTCACCTGGGCGGTGACACACAGTGTGAGGGAGGTACGTCCTTGCCCACCTTCTGAATGATCTCCATCTTCTTAGAAGTCGTGAGAGTCCGTGTCAGTCTTCCCATCATCTGAAGTCGTCAGTGTGCTGTGGGAGAAAACTGTGCCCCTATACTGCAGTATTGCGACAAATGAGGTTTTGTTCATTCATCCCAGACAGGACAATTCGCTGAAGTCCGCCATCTGTAAGTTTTCCGCGGGTATCTGAGAGCGTGCACTGAATAATGTGGTCATGGGTGTGGCCTAACTGACCATCTGACTGGCCGTATTCCCGTTAACATTTCTGCCTGCCGATGCAGTTGGTGCAGTGACGGTGCTCTTTTGATTTTTTTAATTTTTTTTTTTTTGCATCGGCCACAGAGGTCGTGTCCTTCCATGCTGCGTGTGGAGTGTAGCGGTCGCTGCCTGCAGTGCATGGTGTCCACTAACCTGTTCTGAGCTTCCTGACTCTCAGCTTGAGCTCCCTCTCCTGCTGCTTCCCTCTGCCAGGTTCAGAACGAAGACAGCGTGCTGCTGTTTGTTGTGGCCTGGACCATAACGGAGATCATCCGCTACTCCTTCTACACGTTCAGCCTTCTCAACCATCTGCCCTATCTCATTAAGTGGGCGAGGTGAGGCAGCCATCGGTCCTCCTCCCAACATCTTGCATTGTTAAAGTCCTTTATTTGTCATGTGCATTATGAACAGATTCAGCCAAGCACTGCAGTGCTTATGAGAAGGGTTGTTTGAACATGGCTGGAATATAGACATACACAAAATTTTAAATAAAAAAAAAAATATGAAATGTCTAAAGTGCCCCCAATCCCAACAATCAACGAACAAGTTGCAAAGTCAGTGAATACTTCACAACAGATATTCAATGGACAGTAGATGTAATATGCAGTGTACAAACAAAAAAAGAATTGACGCATATTTGAGCAGCAGCAATTATTATAACCTGGCTACATGGAATTT